TTTGAAGTCAAATGTGTGCCCATTCGGTAGATAGTCAGTAGGCAGGGCTGTCAATTTGGGACCATCTAACATGAGTGACTTCCAAATGTTGAACACATTCCTTCAAACTTTGGACAGCTTCAGTGAACACTGGCAGATTTTGGACACCTAAAATTTTTCCAGCTTGCTGACGCTCGCTATTCAAATCCGTCAACGGGGGGGAGGGGGGGGGGGGGGGTAGTTGTAAATACTTTCGAAACAAATGCGTGATACGTACACATATTTTGTACCAAATGCATGACATAAACGGCAATCGTGGGCAAAGACCGAACGGAATGCGTTCGCTTTTTTTTGCCGTTTGCTTTTTTACCGTATCGGCATTTCACAAAAAACAATTTTTAAAAATATCAACAAAATGCGTGATTTGCGTGATATTTGATCATACACGCTCAGTACTGTCAACCCCCAAAGATTTTCTCGCGGGACAGTTTTTAGACCCAGTGCCAAAAATTTGCGGGATTTTGCGGGACAACGCCTAAATTCGCGGGATTTTGCGGGACATTTAAGGAATTTGAGAGATTGCGCTAATAGGTCGAATTTCGATCAAATTCGCGGGATTTCGCGGGACCATTCGAGGGACAAACACGCTAATTGCGGGACAGTTAACAGGGTAACCACCAAAGACTTCATAGAGGGGCAATCTTTTATAGACAAAGTGCCCTACATTTGCATGATTGGGGAAACATCCACCTAAATTTGCGGGATGTCGCAGGACATTCAAGGGATTTGCGTGATTGGGGCTTAATGTAAAAGTACTCAAATCAAACTTTCAGATACTGATTTATCAAATATAATGCACTTAACTTAAGTAAACGTCAACACAATTCCACACAATACGCATAGAAATATTATTAAAGGGGCAACAAGGCCTGTAGAGAGAAAAATCAAATTCTTTTACTTTTTCATGGCTATCAAGGCAACATTTGGCTTAACATATTCTTTGCCATACCTATTTTCTTAAAATGTATGGATAAACTATCAATTTTAGCATTAAGAAGTGTAAATTCAGTTCAAAGCTTCTATAAAGGGAGTCCCACTTATAGATTTTTAAGATGCACCATTTTGAGGAATATCGGCTGAAATAATGTTCATCCAGGGGGTTTCTTTGGAACTAATAAAAGTATATGTTAGTCTTGAAGAAATAGCCAAACTTAAATATAGTTTGACACTGTTCCATGATCTCTGCACTCATTGTTGCACCTTTAAACTATCAAGAAACCACACTTGTGAGTACCGTAATCCAACACGAAATTCAAAAATTCTGAACAATACTTTGCACTTATGGCGTTCGTGACCAACTATGAAACATTTACCCCCCATTGTGTTATATATTAAAATGTACCTTTTCATATAGGGGTCCGATAGGGGTCAACCCAGTTGTCCGAAACCCAATTCTCCGAATCCGAGCAGTTTTCCGAAACCCAGTTGTTCGAAAATAAGGGGATCTTATCTTAAAAATACAATTTCGTTCAGCGAATCTTGTCACAACCTCTGCGAGTCACAACATAACATTGGAATCACGTTGACATCATTGCAAAATTAGGCTTAATATGCTAAGTCAATACGTTAATTGTTTAATGTTTAGCCTACGAAAGTCATGGGGTAACTTGAGAACTAGAAAATACAACCAAATACTTTTCGAACGTACAATTGCAATATTTCTCACCTAACGTCTTCATAGTTTTAGGAACATATTTTAAACGCATGATAGCGAAATATATCAGGCTATATCTGTCTAATGTAGTTAGTTTTGAAACATATTTTATCCAGATCCTTCAGAAATTAACTAATCCAATGAATTACTTTACTAGTTCTTGTATCTTGCATGACTCGTTCATAAAATTCTTTAATTCTACCTCGTTCCCAATACGTGCTCAGACAGACAAGAAATTGAAGTCACACCCCTTTGTTTGCGTGACAGAATATGCCACGCAAAATACTTATACGCACGTTCTCTGATTATTGTCAAGCAGATACAGTTTAGGAGAAGAAAATAAAAAACAAATGCCGGAAACGAAGGCCGAAAAATAAATCCCAAGTGATTAGGTTTAGAATGTTTTGTTCTTTTACGATTTGATAAGAGACAGAGACTAAGAAATTGAATGCGACGAAATATTTTGAGAACGTAATATTGTACGATATATTGTAGTATCGTATACCATGTATACTGTTTTATTTTTAAAAATCTATGCGTTAACTTATTTTATCTGTTTCAAAATGTTTCATTTTATTTTGCCTATAAAAAAGAGATTGAAGAAGTTGAAGATAAACTGTTCCGTAATATATATTGTGTTTTAATAACCGCTTTTAGGATCACAATGTAAAATAAATCCCCCATTCCTGCCATTCTAGTAGCACCATGTAATGGGTGCAATTCTAAGTGAGAGAGAGAGAGAGCGATCTATAAACATCAGAATGCGTCCATTCCATTAGTTTGGCCAAATACATGGCATGAAACTGGTGTAAGCTTAACTTGGTACGTCCCCCTTTCTCTGGTAAATTATGACTATATTTTTCGGAGTAGTGGGTTTCTGACAACTGGGGTGTACCCTTTAGCTTCTTACACTGTATATCACAAGATAATCACAATTACTTAGCCTCGGGGATTGTTACAATTTTGAAAATTCGCGGAGGTCAAAGCCGACATTTGCGGGACTTCGCGGGACATTGCGGGACACGCGAATTAGCCAAATTTTGATCAAATTCGCGGGATAATCCCGCCATTCGCGGGACACTTGACAGCTCTGCACGCTAAATTGATGCGTGATTTCTATTTTTCCAGCAAATGCGTGACAATCACGCCTAATGCGTGAGGGTTGACAGAGCAGAGTAGGCAGATATTCGAAATTGGATCCAAATGCAATTTAAGGCCAGGGTGCATCACAGATGTTGGCCAGATCGTTTTGTAGTAGGATCTATAGCTCAAAGAATAATTCACAAGATAGGACACTAAATTGGAAAATTTCCCAAAAAGTGACCACTTTTCAAAACGTTCTTTATACAAAATGGTACCTGTTTCCCAGTGACAGATTTTGCACTTATTTTTTGCATTTATAGCTATGATCTTAACTTATGGACGCAGTAATTTGACTTTTAAGGTGCCACAGGAAATGACGAAACAGGAAGTGTCAAAATTTTCAATTTCAATTTTTTTTTTCTTAAGGGTAAACTTTGTCCCAAAATCCTGTCGCTTCAATTGATTTAGTGTTGAACATTCAGGACATGTTGTACAGGTTTGTATCCTTGTTTTAATCAGTTTCTTAGGATTTGCTTATTGTCTGGAATGTACTAAAAACCCTTCGACCCTTCAACCCTGCGACCTACGACTTACAGCGTGTCAAGAATTTTTGAAATATATTTTTATAAAAACCCTTCGACCTTCTAGATATTTCTCAGTCCATATGAAGTTGCTGGAAAAAAAACTTTGTGTATAGAACTTAAGAATCTGTCCCAAGAGAGTTAAAGATATTTAAAGCTGGACTTCGATCGGAGCCGGCGATATGATTTTGGAAAGGTTTCTAAATGAAGAACGTGACGTCACTTCCGAATCATAGCATTCAAAATAAGTAGCGTTTAATTTCTTCCACCATTCATTAAAACACGGTGGTAGAATGCACGCTTAGCACGCGGGAGGCCCGGGTTCGAATCCCGCAATCGCCTTTTTATTTTTTTTAAACTAAATGATTGTTCTTTGACATTACGCAGATAATTTTTTTTTATTTACATAAACTTTATGTTAGAGCTTGAAAATGTAAAAACAATATATGTCAACATATTGCGTTTTGGAGCGATGTGCAGGTTTAATGTATTCAAGCACATTCGAATGTGAACGTTTCTTACATCTCAGTAAAAATATTTGTGCTTTTCCCATCACATTGTAACAGTGGCGCATCGTGCATATTTTCAGGAGGTCAAATTTTTTATATAGTTTAAAGAGAACCGTCTTTTGATTTTATCAACTTTGATTCAATTTGGATTTGTATAGTTAAGAATCTAATGCCAACTAAATAAGTAAATTCTTTGTTTTGCATCCTACAAAATCCAAAGCATGCAAGGGTACAAGGAAAATAAACACAAACTCAAGAAAAAGCTTGCAAGCTAGGTCATATCAGGTTCGTATAACCAGCTTTTGCCAATTTAAGTTTTTCAAAAGGATCAAGGGGTGAACATTTGACAATTTTCAAGTGGCCCAGAAATCTTGAAAATGCTCAGAATCGTGAAAAATTGTACTGATTTTGAGAGAATATTTGGCCAATGGAGTGGTCCACTTGAACCCACGAATGTCCCCCCTGAATATATATATTTTAAGGGCATAAAGGTTATTACAAACACATCTGTACAACTATATTTATTAGACATAGATATGAAACATTTCAGAACTAGATAACAGCAACGCGAGGTGGAGCAAATCCCATCGAACTATTGATCTCAAAATCGTTCAACTACTTTTCAAGTTTTAGTAAAAAAGTAAAATAAGACTTTAAAATACTGTAGAGGCCACTTTTCAAAATGGCCACCTGACCAATGTGCCATGCTTATGAGTATCAACATACTAGGGGGTAGGGACGAAATATTTCGAACGCAATGCGTGACATATACGTAATTCGCGTGAAAAGTCTGAATGAAATGCGTACTTTTTTTTTCGGCGTTCGTATTTTTGCTGTATAGACGATCTTTTTTAGAAATTTTTCTACTGAAACATTTTTGCTTGACAATTACCAGGTAAAATGCGTATTTGCATGCACAGGGAGCTCAAGTTGGAACTATACGTAATCATTTAGTAAACTGGACTGGGAAATCAGAGGTCGAAGGGTTTTTCAATAAAATATATTCCAAAAATTCTTGACACCCAGTAAGTCGTAGGGTCGAAGGGTCGTAGGTGGAAGGGTTTTTAGTACATTCCTTATTGTCTTGGTTTGATTTTTTTCTAGTTGTACAATATTAGCATTTGTGTGTTTCAGCACCCAGTGACAGGACTATTGCCTGCCACCCCAGGGCACTCAGATGCCTGGGTCAGAGACAATGTCTACTCTGTACTATGTGTCTGGGGACTTGCCCTGGCATATAAGAAGAATGCTGATCTTGATGAGGATCGGGCTAAAGCCTTTGAATTGGAACAGGTGATAAGAAATTGTTTACAATTGTCACAATTTTATTCTTAATATAAAGAAGATTGGTAAATACAAATAACAATAATAAACTATTACAGGGTGTTCCAAAAGTAACAGGACTGGTGCTGGCATTTTGTCAATTTTGTACCAAGTATCTTCAAATTTTCACAAATTGTACTTTGAAGTATTGCAACTTAAATTCTAAAGTTTCAGAAAAAAATGATGAAATGCAGCTAGAGTTATTGTTACTATAGTAACATGACATTCCACTACCCGGGGCAACTTTTTTCCTGAAAATGTGATATCTAACATTTTTGTATTACTGAGGAAAGTATCTAATTCACCTATTATAATGCAACATTTCTTGTAAACGTGTTGCTATACAACTCAGATTCAAGTATAATTTCATTATGATAATAACATTTATTCAATTTCCTGGAATATCACTATGTATAACAGTCTGAACAATTGAAAATACCCAATTTGAAGCCAGTCATCTACTTTGATAGCGCCCCTGCCCACAGGTCGGCATTAAAGACCATGCAGCTATAGAGGAGCTAGGTCTTGAGGTCTAAAACCATGCACCATATTCCTCTGATCATTTTTTTTTTCTATTCCAAAATAATAGAAAGTACAATTTTCCCCAAAGAATGGATAGTGGGGTTACAAATAAAGGTTTGCCTAAGACTGCGGCATGAACACCTCATTCTTTTAATTTTTGTATATATAATTTAATATTTTTAATTTCATAGGTTGACTTTTCATAAATACATAGGTGTGCGATTGAATAATATAATGTGTTCCTCCATAATCTTGGATTATTTTTTTCTTTGCTAATGAGCCATGATTTATAGCTGTTATATGCAAATGTTGATATTATTAGATCAATGACATTTTCATGACTTCTTTTAAAAATAATATTATTGCCAATAACAATATTTTTCCATGAAATTTTAATTTTTAATTTTGAGGAAATATAGATCCACAAGTCTTTTATTTGATCGCACTCTATAATAATGTGTTTTAAATTATTTTCAACCTTACAAAAATTGCAAATTTTTGGATCTGCTTTTTTCCACTTAAAAAGATCTATGGAAGATGGAAGAACATTATGAAATAATTTGAAGTTAAAGTAAGCTACTTTTTTATCAACAATTGCTATAATCTTGTTATTAAAATACATTTTCCAATTTATGTGAAATTTAAAATCAATCTTCCATTTATCTTTAGTGTACATTCTTTCTTTATTATGATATTCAAGAATATTATAGAAAAACTTAGATTTTTGATCTTTGAAGAATACTTTTTTATCATTTGTGTAAAAAAATTGTCCTTTCATAATGTTTACAAACTTAGCAATTTTAGGTTTCATTATTTTTTCGAAAGGTTGCAGTATTTTCCTGGCTAAAGATATTTCTGAAATCCAGTTTCTCTTGTCTTTTAATTTTCCTAAAATATGTTCCTCTTTAAGTAAATTGCCATTCACATCTATAATATCCTTTACATAAAGAATATTCCTCTGATCATGCAATATCTAATTTTTACTTATATTGAGAACGGAATGCTAATCAGTGCTGTAAGATGAGTGTGATCTTCTCCAAATTGTCTAATCGACCCTGCGTGACATGTCCTCAAATGGGTTCACTCATGTGTTTGGGTCATGGATACAGAGTACTACTCTTGTACGAAAGAGGAGCCTATTTTTCAAGGTAGAGGATATATAGGAATATCAAATGATGTAAAACTTAATGTAATTCCCACCAGTTGTTGCATATCAACTTTGATATGGCATGTACAAAATGATATGGCATGAACAAAATGCTTAATGTCTTTGTAACTTTTTGTGTTGAATGTTGCCCTGGGTATTGTGATGTCATGTTACTATAGCAACCATAACTCTACCCGAGTTTTATATGTTTTGTAGAAACTTTGCAGTCTTAGTAACGATACATGAAAGTAGATTATGTAATATTTTGAAGACTATTGGTGCATATTTAACAAAATGCCAGCACCAGTCCTGTTACTTTTGGAACACCCTGTATGTAACTCAAGCTCATTTACGACAGAGAATAATGATTCATTTTTGACGTTTCCCCAGTTATCTTACCAGCTTAGAAAAATTCTGCAAGTTCAAAAGCTGTTTTTTAAGGTATTATGCATCACATTTAAAATAAATGAAAACTTGCATTGTTTGATTTGAAAGTTACATCCATGAACAGAAATGTTCAATCTTTGTATGTATGCATGTATATATTTATTGCTCTTTATATAAACGAGATACATGTACATATATTCATGTAAGTGTAAAATTGGAAAAATCACTATTTAAAAACACTCTTTTTTTTTGACTGACGACAACGCCTATTTACAGGGTAGCTACTCCTTAAATTTCATGACATTTGATTCGTATCTGCTCTTTTAAATGGTTATATATATTTTGCAAGTGGATCCAAGAGACCAATTTGGCGAGTCAATTATTTTGCAGGGGTGGCATGATACACACATTTCAATTTTGTATATAGTGAATTCCCAGCGATTGATTTCAGTACAGTAAAACTGTCATAATAAACACCTCTTTAGTGAAGATCTGTGCCCAGTGAACACATGACTCTACTCTATTGAACACACCTGTGTATAGTGAACACCAATTCCCAGCCAGTGATTTTAGTACAGTAAAACTGTCATAGTGAACAGCTCTTTAGTGAAGATCTGTGCCCAGCGAACATATGAGTCTACTCTATTGAATACTTGTGTGTAAGCGAACAACAATTCCCAGCCAGTGATTTCAGCAACTTTTAGAGGGGATTGTACCTACAGTAAAACCTGTCTAATCCGAGAAACCAGCTAAAAGCGTTCCGATTAGGAGGTGTTCACATTTTGAGGTTTTACATTGCAAGATTTGGGATTTTGAAGAATTTTAAGGAACAAATTCTCAATAAATATTTATAGTTCCTTTGACTACATAGCTTTATGGCATTATAGTGACATGAAAATCCGATTCAAATGAATTTAGTCATCCTAGAAAACCCTACCATGAGTCAGATCATTCAAGGGTTTTTTCAAATATTTGAGCAATTTTGTATGGAACATGTGATATTTTATGAAAAGTGTTCGGATTAGATAGGTTAATTTTTCATACATGACTGTTCACTGTTCAAATTGGGAGGTGTTCACATTTCAAGGTTTTTTAACATTTGAGTCAATGGGAGGAAAAACGGGACCAAAAATTGGGAGGTGTTCGGATTAGCCAATTGTCAAATTGGGAGGTGTTCGGATTAGCCAATTGTGTTCAGATATACAGGTTTTACTGTACTACAAATGTTGCCAATCTTTTGGAAGAAAGTGTACATCATTTCAGAGAAATGACAGGTGACACACTGCCATGGGAATTGGTCATATCAGATGTTCCCACTCCAGAGGAGGTCATTTCGCAGGGTTATAGATGAACCCTTGGCCAATCAATGATATAGTTTACATAAGAGAAGTATGACTGTATGAATTCTGGGATATTCCTGTTTTGTTGAGACAGAAGAGAATAAAATTAACCCTTTGCAAAATTGATCAAGACTCCCTCCAATCATCCGATACTTGGCTCAATCTAAGAGTGACCAAGTGGAGAAAATGGACTATTGGTGAAACATTGAACAGGTCCCTCATTGAAAAAATCTGTATTTGTGCATTCTAATCTGGTTTTCTAATCTGATATTTATTGACTACTAAACTTTTAGAAGGTGTTTTTTAATAAGGTAATGTGAGTATGTGGAAATTGATACGTGTATATCCTGCCACTCCTGCAAAATAATGGACTTGCTCACTTGGTCTCTTGGATCCACTTGTAAAATATATATAACCCTTTTAAATAGAATATATGTGAGTGTCCCTTTTCTGCCCACCCTGTACTAGTAAATAAATTTGAAACACTGTTTGACTTTTATGAAAACATTCAGTCTTAGTGCATTTTTGGTATTTTGTTATACAATGTACTATGTTTGCAGAGTGTTGTAAAATTGATGAGAGGCCTCCTTAACTCAATGATGCGTCAAGTTGATAAACTGGAGAAATTCAAATATTCTCAATCAAAGGATGATGCCCTACATGCTAAATATAGGTAAAACAGTTACTCTATGTAGTATATAAGGGTTGTACTGGGAGGCTTTGGATACAGGTTTTTATCCTGCACATATTTCACAACTTTTTATCCCTTCCTTGGGTGCTATATTGTGATTATTTTGCTGGGTGGGTGTCCCAATATATAGTGTCTACAGTTTTCCAGCCAAACCATTTTTTGGGATTCATTTGAAATTTTCAGGGATCTTTCTACATAGTACCCCGGACAGGTTGTATGATGCAGTCGTTTTTTACTCTATATTTGCAATAGAGCAACCATTCTTATTAAAATTTTCATATTTTATTTTGGAGACAATTTCCAACATGGAAAAAAAATATTTTAACGAAATTCCTAATTTTATGATTTTGATATGCTTTTTTCAAAAACACTCCACTGTCAATAAAATACAGGTTTTGCTTGAACAATTGAACTTTTAACGTCATTTCAAAGATTGTCTAGTTACTGAATTTTTGGCAGCCTAAAGTCTTACCAGATGTATTTGATGCCATATTAATTATGGCTGATTATTGTTATTCATTTTTGTCATATTCAATAGGCCTAATATTATTACAGTGCATTAGGCCAATGAAAAACTTGTCACTCTAGGTCACGTGTCCTCTGAAAACGCACCTTTTTCTCGACTGTTTTTTTCCGCCACCGTCACTCAGCATGCAAGCCCGTGGCAACGTAAATTGTATCATACTTTTAAAGTGTCAGGTCTCCCTGACAATTTCATGTTAAAATTTGACACGGCTATATTACATCTCTGAAAGATCTAATGCCAAGAATACTTGAAATTAGAGATTCGTAATGTTTTACTTCATTTTGGACAGTATTGTACAGTTTGATCGGGTTAAACTTCTGTCCGTGGACAAGAAGATTGACCTCCTCTATCTGGGCTCAATCTAGGGAATGCTTCACAAAACGAGACCCAGAGCAACAAGTTTTCATTGGCCTAATGTACTGTAATAATATTGAATATGACTCAAGTGAATAAGAATAATCAGCCATAATTATTAATATGGCAACAAATATATCTGGAAAGACTTTAGGCGGCCGAAAATTTAATAGCCAGATAATATTTGAAATGACGTTAAAAGTTCAATTATTCAAGCAAAAACCTGTATTTTATTGACAGTGTAGTGCTTTTCAAAAAGCCCGTCAAAATCATAAAATTGGGAATTTCGTTAAAATATTTTTTTTCCATGTTGGAAATTGTCTCCAGAATAAAATATGAAAATTTTAATAAGAATGGTTGATCTATTGCAAATATAGAGTAAAAAAATGACTGCATCATACAACCTGTCCGGGGTACTATGAAAGTTTAGAACGGATTAGTTATTGGGCATTCTATGTAAATGTTAAGGTGGGCATTTTGAATTTTCCATCCTAAAATCTTGTCTGTCGAGGCTTGTCTACAGGTTTCCAACCAAACAGTAGAGAGGATAAGATTCCACCTTTTGGACGATGAAAACCTGAACGTGAAGTATGATGAGTGTGCAACAAATTATTTTATAATCCCGTTGACATGTTGATTCAACATAAATTCAGAGATATAGATATAGAGTGAGGTTGAGTTTACATAACCTTGTAGTATCTATTTCATGATTTCAATCATTTTATACGGCCACTGAGACACGAAACTCTAGCTTTATTTTTTGGCAGTAATGTTAGTTTTCTCCCATGAATAAATTATTAAAAAGCAAAAGTATGTTTATTTTTGTTCTTTTGAAAGTAGCATATCTGTTGAATAGTTGTGTATGTATTTAAATGGCTCGAAATAAATTGTTTGTTGGTAAACTAAGTCCCGGGAAAATAGCATTCATTTCATAAAATAAATTATGAGCAATGATTGCCATAGCCATGTACAAATATATGCTACCACCCCTATTTTACGAGCTAATTCAATGTACTGTCACTATACTGACTAAACAAATCCGAAGGTCTATCGCAACACTATTCACAATTACATTCAATCATTCGTGGCCATTCTCATCTTTTTTAGTTTTTATTGCTGTTGTTTAGTTTTAAAAGTTAATAGGTGCAGGTCTTATTCATATAATTTTTTTGAAGTTTTTGCGCCATTCATCAAATTAAGGTCAATGACACTCTTATTTCGTTTACTTTTTCGACGGGTGAATAAACTGCTTATTTTGCTGCTCAAAAGGAACATTTAGAAAAACCTATATGCTTATGTATAAAAACAGGTTCATGTTCAACTTGCCGGTGCCTTATCCTCTCTAGTTTTAGGGATATCTGCAGGGATGTTTCTTCATATATGAAAGTTTAGAACGATAAGTTTTGGGGCATTCTAGGTAAAGGTTTACACAGCCATTTTAGATTTTCTATCCCGAAAACTGTCTAAAGAGTGTTATATATATATATCTTACTCTACATCTTTAAAAAAATACTAAACTATTAATTGTTAGATTTTAAAATTTAACATTTACTCATTTAAATTGTGGAAAGGGACCTGGATGAATACAGCCTGTATTTCCTGGACCTCTGTGATAGTGGGATAGATATAGAACATATTCTTCCTATTTCCTAGATACACTGTATATATTCCAATACATTCTGTACCTAGAACCTCAGTTTGTATTGAAATGTAAATAACACATTCTAATGAATGATTTTACTTCATGTTGCTAAATATTAAAGAGGGGATATACCCTAGGTTTCTCCACCAATCAGTGATGTCTCATTGTAATTGCTCATATGCATATATCCTACATGCCTATGATACATTTTGAGAACAAATTATGGACTCAATGACTACAATATATTGAGAAAATCAAAAGAACTTGTCAAACTGTCAGATAAATGCAATTAGTCTCATGCAATATACAACCGTTTTATCTATGTTTCTAAACCACTGATATATATAACTAAATGTGATGCAGAAAGATAACAAGAAACTTGTTGTGAGTCAAAAATTAAGAAATAAAGATAAAAAATGATGTATATCATATAGTTATCCCACCAAACACAAGAGTGTTGGCCGAGAAGGAATTTTCAAGATGAATTTCAAAATATGGTCGTCATTTTTCGTAAAAAAAAATAAATCTTTGATAACTCAAATACCAGTCAGTCGAAATGTTGAGACATGCGCAGAGCTCTATTTAGTGATATTTTCATTTCAAATATTGCGGCCAATCCGATGTCTGACGACCCTTACAAAGAATATAGGCAGTGTGCATTTTTACCTCCTGTGAAATAACAAGTGGAATTTAGTAGTTGTTTTGTGTTTTATTATCATTCTGCATCGTAATTCTATGTGATGTGGTGTTGAAATGTCAGCAGAAATACATATCCATACCATAATCGAGTGAATCAGATAACTGATTTTTCGAAAACCCGTCTCGTGCTAAGAGTGTAAAAACTTGTATTTACATGCTCAAAAGTGCCAATGTGCACATCAATGTCAAGCTAAATCAATGTTGTGTCTAAAACAGGTACCTGATCTACTCAAAACAGCTTGTCATTCACGTATACACGCTTAGCAAACATGGCGAAATGATCTGAATCTTGGAATTTCGTTCGAGAGCTAGTAATGTTTGCTCCGGTCTCCGTCATAAGTGTTCATCAGACTTCATGCATGCTCAGGAGAAAAACCATCAACCAATAACGTTTATACAACGGTAAAGAAATTCGTATTTATAAACGAACCAATTTGAGATAACCCGATATCAGTCGGAGAAATCTGACGATCTACGAAACTCACTTCAAAAAATCAAATGCGGACTGACGGCATATTGTACTATGTTTGGATCTAAGATTTTCAGTATAGCTAAAGTCTTTTATGATCTTTCGAATGAGGTAAGTCTCTAGTTCGAAAGACAATCGTATCAACTTGAACAAAATTTTAACATGCGCAGAAGTCCCATTTTCGTTGTACCATATTGACTGCCAGTGGCGAATTTTGTTTAAATTTTATATGCTGATGCCTATAGGTACACAAGAGCTCTGGCCAAGAAGGGATTTTCAAGGTGGCAGCTGAATTTCAAAATGGCTGTCATTTTTTGTAAAAAAAAATCCTTGATAACTCAAATACCAGTGGACGGATTTTGTTTGGATTTTATATGCTGATAACTATAGGTACACAGGAACTCTGGTCGAGAAGGAATTTTCAAGATGGCAGCTGAATTTCAAAATGGCCACAATTCTTCAACAGAATGTAAGCTTTGATAACTCAAATACCATTGGACAGAATTGGTTCACATTTAATATACTAATGCCTAGAGACAAAGGAACTCTGTCCAAGAAAAAATTTCCAAGATGAAAGCTGAATTTCAAAATGACTGCCATTTTTTCATAAAAAAACGTAATCTTTGATTACTCAAATACCAGTGAATGGATTTTTATTCAATTTCTGTATGCTGATGCCTAGAGATAAAAGAACTGTGCTCAAGAATAAGAATGAATGAATCTTGTAGGGGCGGTGCTGCTAAACTGTTATTTAATCTATACTAGGCAGAGGGTAGTTTATAACTAGACTCTGCGTCCCAGGGTAATTTTTCGAAAAAATGTAATCTTTCACAACTCAAATACCAGTGGATGGATTTGGTTCAAATGTTATATGCTGATACCTAGGGATAAGGGAGCTCTGTTCAAGAACAAACTTTCAAGATGGCTTCTATTCATCAAAACATGTTTTGTACGGTGGGATTTGCTACTCCGTGGAGTTGCTGTTTTCTAGTTCAACAAGCTAAACCTAGTACTGTAATTCATGATTTTGTGATGTTTAACTTCCAAGAGAGATGAGAGATCAAAGCAAGCAGACATACCTTAACATATCATCCCATATACTGTACCCCTGTGGGCCTGTGTCCTTGAAGACGTATTATTTCTAGAGATTTTGAGAGGGTTTGGAAAAGTTGGTTTCAAATTGCGGTAACATTAAAATGGCAAATCATATCAATAAACCATAACATTAGAATGGAAAACCATATCAATAAACCATAACATTAAAATGGCAAATCATATCAATAAACCATAACATTAAAATGGCAAATCATATCAATAAACCATAACATTAAAATGGCAAATCATATCAATAAACCATAACATTAAAATGGCAAATCATATCAATAAACCATAACATTAAAATGGCAAATCATATCAATAAACCATAACATTAAAATGGCAAATCATATCAATAAACCATAACATTAAAATGGCAAATCATATCAATAAACCATAACATTAAAATGGCAAATCATATCAATAAACCATAACATTAAAATGGCAAATCATATCAATAAACCATAACATTAAAATGGCAAATCATATCAATAAACCATAACATTAAAATGGCAAATCATATCAATAAACCATAACATTAAAATGGCAAATCATATCAATAAACCATAACATTAAAATGGCAAATCATATCAATAAACCATAACATTAAAATGGAAAACCATATCAATAAACAACAGTTGACTTACTGAACAAAATACCATTGATTAGTACACAAAACAAGTTGCAGGCTATTCTCTATTTATATTCCTGGGAACATATAGATGACTATCAATTTATCATACTCTCCTTGGCAGTGCTTGTTTTCAATGTACTATTCCGAGACACTGCATCATCAGTGTCAAGATTTAGGGACAAAAATTTATGTCATTTTGAAGTAAAGCTTTTTTTTTTCTTTACAATGACGAGTTGAGAAATTTAAAAACATCCCACTTACTGAACTTTTAAACTTTTAACGCATTTATTTTCAAAAGCTTTACATTGGCGAAATTCCATTACATTCGTGGACTTAGATTATTTTGCGATTGAAAGTTGTGAACATTTATGGCATGGATTTTCAAAAAGCTTTACATTAGCCATATTCCTTTACATTCTTGGACTTAGATTATTTTACGATCTATAGAAGTGAAATTTTACAGCATGCATTTTTAAAAAGCTTTACATTGGCCATATTTCTTTACATTCTCAGACTTAGATTATTTTACGATCTATAGAAGTGAAATTTTATGGCGTACATTTTCAAAAAGCTTTACATTGGCCATTTTCCTTTACATTCTTGGACTTAGAATATTTCACGAACCAAAGTCATGAACTTTTTAGGCAGGCATTTTCAAAAAGCTTTACATTGGCCATATTCCTTTACATTCTTGGACTTAGAATATTTCACGAAGCAAAGTTGTGAACTTTTTATGCAGGCATTTTCAAAAAGCTTTACATGGGCGAAATTCCATTACATTCTTGGACTTAGATTATTTTGCGATTGAAAGTTGTGAACTTTTATAAAGCTTTTTGAAAATGCCTGCATAAAAAGTTCACAACTTTGCTTCGTGAAATATTCTAAGTCCAAGAATGTAATTGAATTTTGCCAATGTAAAGCTTTTTGAAAATGCCTGCATAAAAAGTTCACAACTTTGCTTCGTGAAATATTCTAAGTCCAAGAATGTAAAGGAAAATGGCCAATGTGAAGCTTTTTGAAAATGCCTGCATTAAAAGTTCACAACTTTGCATCATGAAATATTCTAAGTCCAAGAATGTGAAGGAAAATGGCCAATGTAAAGCTTTTTGAAAATGCATGCCATAAAATTTCACTTCTATAGATTGTAAAATAATCTAAGTCCAAGAATGTAAAGGAATATGGCCAATGTAAAGCTTTTTGAAAATGCATGCTATAAAAGTTCACAACTTTCAATTGCAAAATAATCTAAGTCCAAGAATGTAATGGAATTTCGCCAATGTAAAGCTTTTTGAAAATGCCTGCATTAAAAGTTCACAACTTTGTTTCGTGAAATATTCTAAGTCCAAGAATGTAAAGGAATATGGCTAATGTAAAGCTTTTTGAAAATACATGCCTTAAAAGTTATCAAGTATATATCGTAAAATATTCTAAGTCCAAGAATGTAAAGGAAAATGGCCAATGTGAAGCTTTTTGAAAAAGCCTGCATTAAAAGTTCACAACTTTGCATCGTGAAATATTCGAAGTCCAAGAATGTAAAGGAATATGGCCAGTGTAAAGCTTTTTGAAAATACCTGCTTTAAAAGTTCACAACTTTGCATCGTGAAATATTCGAAGTCAAAGAATGTAAAGGAAAATGGCCAATGTAAAGCTTTTTGAAAATGCATGTCATAAAATTTCACTTCTAATAGATCGTAAAATAATCTAAGGAATATGGCCAATGTAAAGGTTTTTGAAAATGCATGCTATTAAAGTTCACAACTTTCACTCGCAAAATATTCTAAGTCCAAGAATGTAAAGGAAAATGGCCAATGTAAAGCTTTTTGAAAATGCATGCCATAAATTTCAGTTCTCTATATCGTAAAATAATCTTAGTCCAAGTATGTAAAGGAATATGGCCAATGTAAAGCTTTTTGAAAATGCATGCTATACAAGTTCACAACTTTCAATCGCAAAAAAATCTAAGTCCAAGAATGCCATAAATTTCAGTTCTCTATATCGTAAAATAATCTTAGTCCAAGTATGTAAAGGAATATGGCCAATGTAAAGCTTTTTGAAAATGCATGCTGTAATATTTCACCTTGTTAAATCGTAAAATATTCTAAGTCCAAGAATGTAAAGGAATATGGCCAATGTAAAGCTTTTTGAAAATGCCTGCATTAAAAGTTCACAACGTTGCTTCGTGAAATATTCTAAGTCCAAGAATGTAAAGGAATATGGCCAATGTAAAGCTATTTGAAAATTCCTGATATAAAAGTTCATAACTTTCAATCGTAAAATAATCAAAGTCCATGAATGTAATATCGCCAATGTAAAGCTTTTTGAAAATACATGCCTTAAAAGTTTAAAAGTTCAGTAAGTGGGATGTTTTTAAATTTCTCAACTCGTCATTGTAAAAATAAAAAGCTTTACTTCAAAATGACATCAATTTTTGTCCCTAAATCTTGACATATATACACTGCATGGGAGTTAATCAATTTATTCGACAATTTTTTCGTTTCACACGAAAAGTTTGATTTATGACAAAAATTGCCAATTAGAAAACATGTTTTGAAAATTTAACTATTATAAGTGAACATTTAAGATGTTATGTGGCATTGTTTGATGGTACGTGCTTCTTTATTATTATCAAGTATTTGTCGCATAATTGAGGAACATTCAGTTTCAATCGATACCGAATTTGCGATACATGAATGCATATCAAGTTTTTATCTCATTTCAGAATTAAGGATTTTTATTTAGAAGTTGTATTTCGCGTCGTTGCTACTTTAGGCAACATGCGTTGTCAAGTTTCATAAACCCAGAAAACCAATCAAATTGGAGTGAATTGGACCAGGTTTTTCAATTTTATTTTGACTTTACTACCAGCCATTCGATAAGTACTGTCTGTGAACAATCATCAGATATAATATATTAGTAGAAGCCTCAAAGTTGGATTACATCTTTTAACGCCAAAACATTCTGGGGTTTTACTTTGATTGTGCTATTATCCAACACTACACCTTTAAATAAATTCATATGTTCTTAAAAGTACATGCACTTTCAAAATAACATCCACATGTCTAAACTACAATATAAGGGGAAAATATGGCCTTATATTAATTTCAAATTCAGTAACACTTTACCATTACATTAAAATGGAATTTCCATTGTTATGTTTCAGTGTTAGCAAGGGTAGCACTTGTGTAGGAGATAATGAGTGGGGCCACTTACAAATAGATGCTACATCTTTATATCTTCTTATGTTAGCTCAAATGACAGCCTCAGGTATGGATATAATAAGTACTAGCTACTACTCAATTCTCAGGGTCTAAAACTTAATGAAACACCCCTCCCCACTTAAAGTTGTATACAATATTTATAATTGAAATGTAGTGTGAAATGTGAAAAGTAGATCACAAATATGATATTATTATTCTTTAAATTTCTTAAAGACGAGATGTTGTTTATTTCTCATTGTCCTGATTCCTTTTGGTTGACTAAAGCTACTTTGACACGTGTTATAGTCTCCAACTTTTTGTGTTTTTTGTGGTTGGTGTTTGACGGTTGACAGGAAGCGGTCAGAATTCAGCATCTTTAAAAATGGCAGGTGGAAACAACTTGGATGTTACTACCATGTTATACTTGCTTGCATCTGTTTGTTTAAACAAAGTTCATCTTATCTTAATTTGCAGGGCTACAAATAGTGTTCACATTAGATGAGGTGGCCTTTATACAAAACTTGGTGTTCTATGTGGAAGTGGCTTACAATATACCTGTGAGTTATAATTATCAAGAATATGTGATTTTTTTATTGTAATTAAAACTCCATGAGTAAATAGCTCTTTTGCACTTTTGTGTGTTTTTATTATAAGACTCAAATTTTCAAGCAGAATTTGCTAAGAATGTTTGTTTCTTTACTATCTACCTACTTTATCTACCTACCCATCTACCCACCCATCCACCTAGCTAGCTACCTAGCTAGCTACCTAGCTACCTAGCTACCTTACCTACCTTACCTACCTACCTACCTACCTACCTACTTACCTACTTACCTACCTACCTACCTACCTACCTACCTACTTGTCTAGGTCAATTCAGTCTGGAGTCTCAAATCAATTTAGCATTCTAGTTATGTGTCTTATGTTCTTGCAGGACTACGGCATCTGGGAGAGGGGAGACAAGACAAACCATGGTCTACCAGAGTTGAATGCAAGCTCAATTGGGATGGCCAAGGTTACTGTACTAATTTATTGTATTAGTTTATTGCACTTGAAATTGAGCTGGCTGCAGAAACAAGTTTTTAAAGTTTACAATGCTTTAAAACGGACCATATATAAGTAATTATTGCATTTTGAAATGTTCATTATATAACATTTCTTCAACCCAACATTGTATTATTTCTCTTCAGGCTGCACTGGAAGCTCTAGATGGCTTAGATCTATTTGGGGCCAGGGGAGGACCTAACTCAGTCATACACGTGTTTGCTGATGAAGCCCAACAATGTGCTGCTATATTAGAGTCTATGCTACCAAGGGAGTCAAATTCAAAGGTTATCTTCATCTCTATTAGAACTCCTTCTCTCATACAAAGTAAAGTATATTAGTGATAAAGGAATTGACAAATTTTTTTAAATTACGTCCTGTTCAAGTTCCAATCATTTTTATAGACTATATCAGTAGATTTAATATCACTGAATATGGTATTGCTTGTTGAGGATCACACAACATTACCGTTTATCATTTATTTGAGATTCAAGCAGGGGTCCATTTTTAAAGAAATAATTGTTTTAAAAGATTTCTTATGAATAGATAATAAATAAGTATAAGAAGTATGAATTATTATATATCAAGAGCATTATGTAAAAGGATGAGTCTGGGAATGAGTCAGGGTATCGACTTACAAAATATTGAAAATTGTAATGTCTTGTAAACCAACTCAATCACACATATTATTAAACTTCAATATCTTATCCTTCTTCTGAGATTACAAAATTATCAATTTGTATCACAATTGATGAAGAATATTGGCATCAAAGACAGTGCATATCACTTTGTCAGAATTGAAAAAAAATCAATGGCAAATATTAAATGAACTATTTATGCAAAAAGTTTGAAACATATCTTCCAAAACATTGGTTACTTTCTTTGTATAGACATTGAATGGTATTTCTGGATAAGTGAATTGGTGTTTATCTGGGTAAACAAAGGGATTATAGTCACTCAAAGTTACTGAGCATCCAGTTTTGAGACTTCAATTGTGTTGTTGATGTTACACATACTTCAGTCAAATTCATGCTGAGCACAACATTTTGGTTTCAATTTTATAATCTCTATACATGACCCTAGTGATGAAGAGTCAGAATCAGTCAAAAAACCTAAACCGGAAAACTGTGCTCAATGTGAAAACTAAAAGTGAAGCAACTTTTTTTCTGATATTTCTTACATCAAATGGCAACCATCTTGTTTTTCCCCCTTCAAATTAAACTGGCGGGAAATTTAGAAATTAGAAAAAAAAATTAATCATAAAATATATTTCAAAAACATGATTTTCTTTTTAATTCTTCATGGGTCTTAAGTTATTTCTTCTTTGTATGTCATACATGTAGCCATTGCTGTTTTTTCTATGATAATGACTATTTTTTGTTTTGTTAAGATACTTATTCTGACTCTCAGCAGGGGATTAATTATGCATCAAAACTCGTGAAAAAGGAAATATACTTATTAAATATAACTAGGACAGTAATAAAAACCATATTTCACAGACATTTGACTGAGGGACCAAAAGGGCATATACCCGGACACATCCTTTCAACTGAAAAATGGAATCCAAGTTCACAGTGGGGGTACAACTCATCAAACTCCCTATAACTTTTTTTAAAGCTTACTGTTACAGCCTAATGATTTTAATTTGCTTTTGTGAGTAAGCAGGCCCATAGCCAGAATTTTCATAGGGGGGGTTCGTTTTTCTAAAAAATTCTAGGGGGGGTTCACTTTGGCAAATAGCATTTTTTTACTATAACAATCTGAGCAATATCACGTCATTGGTGGGCTTATAATGCATTAACGCCTGGCAATTTTCCCCGGGAAATGAGATGTTCTTCAATGCTTATGATTTTTGCTATTTCAGCCCTTGGCATTAACGGTGGTAATAATACTATGGCCCTTGGTCCAATATTTCACTATATTGCCCTTGGGAATGACGTTATTGTACTATTGTTATATTCTGGTACGATTAAGGTTTAAATACCATGAAAAATATGCTTAGAAATAATGTCGGGTCACTAATATGTCTAACACTAAGCATCAAGGGAGTAGGGGGGTGTCTAACGACCTATCCTTGGGGATCTTTGTTACGCATCTGATTTCAATAATGTGGGTATTGTTAAAAACCTTATTCTATTATTCTTTCAGTTAAGTATTCAGTTTTATTCAAAACGAGGCCATTAAAGATAAAATCAAGGTAAACTTGACTTAGGGGGCTGTAGATTTTTGACATTTCCTTAACAGTTATCCAGTTAATTTCAAAAAAAGTTTGGGTATCGCAAATCATATATCCTTTCACCCCACATCATATCATATGCTTTATTGATGTTTAAATCTATCTTTATAAATTCTTAAATCATCTTAGATTATGATTTAAATGCAATATTATATGCGATCAAATGCTTTTTCAAGGTTTTGAAATGTAAACAGTGCTCAGTTTTTACAAGTGCTCAACAGGTGAAAACGTTTGTAGGAATATATATCTTTTAATCATATCGAAAAAATTGGCAGATCAACCAAAACAAGATGATGTTCAAAGAAAGTGAACTAAATGGAACCATTATTTTTAATCATTTTGAATGCAAAATATAGTCAGACAGAAGATCTTATTTTCGATTAAACAGATAAAATCAATATATCATGCTAATAACCTTTCCAAAAGGTGATGAATAGATAATTCGTTGTAAACTTCTAAAATGTCAATATCTAATATTTTTCATCATTCTGGAACCTCTGTTAAACCCCTCAATGATAAGTAAACGATAATGTTAACAGGTCCTCAAAGGGTCAAAATGTATGTAGGAATATATGTTTTATCATCATAAACATAACGAAACAATTGGCGGATCAAGGAAAAACAAGATGATGTTAAGAGAAAGTGAACTAAATGGAATCATTATTTTTTATCATTTTGAATGCAAAATTTAGTCAGACAGACGATCTTATTCTCAATTAAACAGATAAAATCAATATGTCATACTAATTACCTTTCCAAAAAACGATAAATGAGTAGATAGTCTGTTGTAAACTTCAAAATGATCAGAATCTAATATTTTTTTATTTTTTGTCGACCCCTGTTGAACCCCTCAATAATAAATAAATGGTAATGTTAATGGTCATAAGTAGACATATTGTGACATATTATGTAATTTAAGAAGTAGTGTTCAACTCATGTAGACATGTTATAAATTTTAACATATTTTGTCAGTTTCAGTTACCATGGCAATGAGTTCTTACATACTGTAACTTAAGAAGACATAGTCACAATGACTTCAAATGTTACCATGACAACAAATTAGCACTCTCTAATTGTGTGCAACTAGATGGTGACATTTTGTCATATTAATTCCTTGTATAATTTTATACCCCTATTATGTTTGATTCCGTTTGTAAGTTTGCCAATACATCTCATTCAGGAGGTTGATGCAAGTCTGATGAGTATTATAGGATTCCCAGCTTTTGCCCTTGATGACCCTGAGATCATAGACCTTACTAGGGAAACAGTTAAAGAAAAGTTGCAAGTGAGATAGCTATCTTTGATTTGCCATACTCATAAAAAATTACAATGCAAATTGAAAAGAATAAAAATGAGCGAGTGTAATGATGTTTCAAATACTGAAGAATATTAACATAATTTATTTAATATTACAAGTGGAGTTTCACATGCTCATGTATAGCAATTGAAATAGAACTTTTAGAGATTTTGATTTTCTACTTAAGTTAAATCGAATTGCTAGTTTTCTATTTGTTAAAAACTTAATCTGGTAGCTAATAGTCCATTTTTGCAAAACCAATATTCATTTGTGCTGTATTTGTCTTCTCTTTCAAAATAAAATGAAGCTATTTTATTGCATTTAAGGGAAGATACGGATGTTGCAGATTTCTGAGGGATGGGTACAGGACAGCAAAAGAGGTAGCTACATACCTAATGCACTGATTCTCTGTCATTATGGATATTCTTTCAACTACATCCAAAAACATGTGTGTTGATTCCACTTATTAAATATAGAAAAACAGCATAAGTAAGGGCCATTCACTCAGATGTGTCTATGTCACATGCATCATTGATGATTCTACTAACACACATCACGAATGATTCATTAGGGACTACCCAATTTATTTGAAAAATACTAAGGAATGTTCCCAACCAGAAAAAAACTTATATTGCTCATGTTTTATATAACTAAATATCATGTTTGTCTTGTTTTAGGATCGTAATCGGCTGCACTATGAACCCTGGGAATTGAAGAAATTTGAACATATAGAATGTGAATGGCCATTGTTTTTTGCCTACTTTGTCCTTGATGGTATCTTTACTGGTGATATAAGACAGGTAATTTGCTTATACATGTAAAGCTAAAAAGTTGATTTTGTATATTGATTTTTGGGATTCAAAACGTTGGCTCAGTTACAAAAAACCTACTGAGGTCTGAAAAGTGAAATTTTCAGGGACGTAGGTCAAGCTCATCAAAATAGGTCACAAACAGTTGTTATCTAAGTTTGTCAAAGTTCGAGACTACAAATCAATTTTTGTCATCAAAATTCCAAGAAAACTGCTAACACAATTAACAGGTCAAGAATCTTACTATGATTAAAACATTAAATCATCTACATAAAAAATAGAGAATCAGTAAACCTGGGCTAATTAGGCATTTTGTGGAAGGGCTAGGAAAATGTATATGATCTTATCGAACACTTACACAAAGCCAAATTCACGTGATAAATTCCTTTTTTGATCCCATTAGAGAAAGAACCAGGATATACTACATGAAGTTATAGAATGATTTTAACATCCCTGACTATGACCAACTCTGTCTTTAACTCTGGCTTAAGATCCTACCCTTTAGCATAGATGTCTGACTTGATTTATCTTTAAGGCTGAGGAGTATGTCAAGCTGATGGAAGAGCTGATGATAACAGGAGAAAAAGGGATTAAACTTATGCCAGAAATGTACACAGTTCCAGCAGATAAGGTACGTCAGAATGATGGGTGAAAAGAATTTATTGTATGACTAAAGTGTTTTATTCAATTTAATTAGAGCCATGACTTTTTATCACACCATCGGTGGGATATAGTCGTCATACTGGTCGTGATCGTGGTCGTGATCGTCCCGCTTTTTGTCATCGCCGTTTAAGGAAAACTGCTCACCAGATTTTCTCCAAATTCGCAGAGATGATAGAGCATATGAAGTACTAGAGCTGATTAACTTTTGGGTGGTCATCTTGTTTTCTGGCGGCCATTTTGAAGGTTTTTCGAAAAATCTTGTCATCGCCATTTTAGGAAAACCGCTCATCGGATTTCCTTCAAATTTACACAAATGATGGAGGATATCAAGTACTAGAGCTGATTAACTTTTGGGCGGCCATCTTGTTTTCTGGCAGCCATTTTGAAGATTTTTCGAAAAATCTTGTCATCGCCATTTCAGAAAATCCGCTCATCGGATTTCCTTCAAATTTACACACATGATAGAGGATATCAAGTACTAGAGCTGATTAACTTTTGGGCGGCCATCTTGTTTTCTGGTGGCCATTTTGAAGGTTTTTCGAAAAAATCTTGTCATCGCCATTTCAGGAAAACCGCTCATCGGATTTCCTTCAAATTTACACAAATGATAGAGGATATCAAGTACTAGAGCTGATTAACTTTTGGGCGGCCATCTTGTTTTCTTGTTCTTGAAATTTGTAAACATAATAGGAGAACAGTTTTCCTGGTTCATAGTGTCTGCCTATTTGATGGTGTGATCTCGTTCACGTCCTGTGCCTTGTTCTCATTCAGACAATGAATTAATTTATTTGGATGACAATAGACTTGATCTTTTTAGTACAGGGTGAGCCAAAAAAGGTAACCCAACTGGATGTTAATAACTCAGTTATTTAGTGGGGGTTTAAGTTCATATTTAGTACAATTAAGCCTTGTTCAACGTACTATCATTTTAAGAAGTTTCATTAGTCTATTACAAATGGTCATGATTTTACATTCATTTTACAAAACATGCTCAAAATGCCAGTCTCATCTCTCGAAGCAAACTTGAGCGCATCAGTGAAGTTGTTCTGCCTACACATTCCCAGATAACTTGTGTTATGGCTCTCATATTCCTTCTAATCTCTTGTTTCAAGTTTCTAATGCTTCTAAGGTTGTTAATTATATGGGGCTGTGATGGGTCGAAATTGCACAATTCGGATGGCGTATATGAAATCCATTTTCACATTTGTTTGGGTTACCTTTTTTGGCTCACCCTGTACATCAACTATTGTACATCAGTGTTCAGCAGTTGTTGATTCGCTATTGTTATCTGTAACAAATCATGTTCGGCGTCTGTAACAAGTGGCAGGTGGTGACATTTTGCACATTTATGTCTCGGTTAATATTTGTTGTCATCAGAATTCAACTGTGTGTCTCATGATACCTCATTTCTTTAATGCTATTAAAATTTGCAAATCGCAACATTATTATTGATTTAGATATCTTTGAGCAATTTGCTTTGTTCTTGTTGATTTCAGGTTGAAGCAGAATACAAGCAGCCACATAGTCAAGAGAGGAAGGCTATTGGTAAAATGCCTCACATGTGGTCCCAGTCGTTATATGTGCTTAGCAGGCTGCTACATGAGGTAACAAGAAAATGATCTTGGAAATATCACAGCAGTGTGCAAAATATCCCCTCGCCATTTGTAATTTAAGGAGTTTCAGCCATGTTAAGTTTTTTTTTAAATATCACAGTATTATATTATTTTTATGTGTGTTATTTTTATTTTTACCTTGTAACTGGAAAAGTATGGGGTAGATTTTGTTGAAATTTTATATGTGAATACAACAAGCACTAAAAGGACTGTAATTGCAGATTTGACTGTTCAATGGGATTTGCTACACCTTGGAGTTGATGTAGTTCTAGTTGTAGTTTGATCGTTTTATACTTCAGTAATCTATCCATATATTTTATTTACAGGGTTTCCTCTCCCCAGGAGAATTGGACCCCTTGAATAGACGTTTATGCACAGAACCAAAACCAGATTTAGTAGTACAAGGTATCATTAATCTTTAATATCAATTTAAGATATAGTTATTGAAAATTTTTTGCCTTATTTCTGGTCATTAATCAGTAATTCTCACAATTTTCAGTGATCACTAAAGAACTAGTTACCATAAAAATAAGCGCTTTGATTTACTTTTCAGTTGTAATCCTAGCAGAAGACAAGCACATTAAGGATAGTCTAGCACAGTATGGTTTAAGTGTCCAGACTATAGCCGAGGCAGCCCCAATTCAAGTGCATCCAGCCAGAGCATTGAGTCATATATACTCACAACTAGGTACACAAATTGACATTGAATCACAAATCACAGTTTTTTGCAAGTCAAAATTCTTCTAGGTTTTCTTGAGAAAATTTCAAATTTCGGCAACAGATTCTTCTAACCAATGTAATAAATTTGCCCCAATATTGATATATTAGCATGATTGCTGTATAAGTACTTTTGTATTGTAGCTGTTTTGATTCACATATAATGACTCTATCATATATTAATTAATTTTTTAGGAAAAAATGAATGTTTAGGCTTATCTGGTCGGCCTTCTTCTCATGTTGGTCTCCTAGCAACCAGTAAATTATACATGATCCAAGGCCAGATATTTGCCTTTACCCCACAGGTAAGACAATTTGTTTTTTGGGTGGAAGTTTGATCCGTGTGATGTCCTTCTATAGGAACAACTATTGTTTTTTACAATTTCATAATAAAAAGTTGAATATTACTTTGTCTCTTACATATACCTTTTCACATAATTCACACATGAGTTACATAAACCCTCTACAAGTGGGATTGCAGAGAAGGGAGTTTAAATATTAAAGTGAAACCTAATAGTAATTGATTTAACTCTTTCACATTTTTATTATGTCACCACCACAAAGTGGTGATATCTTGTTATGGTTTCCATTTTTTGGGCGGTGGTTGGCGATCGTCGTATGAAGGCGGTGGATGATGGGCGGCAGTAGGCATCTGTAACAAATTTTAAAACTTCCAATAACTTAACGAAACTGTTAAGACTGACTTCACTTTTTTTCTAAATCATCTACAAGTTTTCAGAAGTTCAAATCTGACTTCAAATTTAAGATTTGACCTTCAATGACCTTTTCAAGGTCAAAAAAGGTTAAAATAGGTCAAAAAGTTCTTTTTCAACTTGCTTTAAATTGATCAAATATTTTTTTCTCAGAAGTTCAAATCTGACTTGGGACATTTTGTCATGTTGACTTGTTGCACTTTAAAATCATCTTTGTGCTTGGTATGTGTGTGAGTAAAGTAAAAATGAAATATCTGTATAAATATTATCATTATAAGCTCACTCCCTCACTCAGAGTGAAATAAATTTACATTTTGTTTAATTAGAATAAATACTTATTTGCATAAAACAAATTGATTAAAAAAAATTGGACACTCATATTTCAAAAGTAAATATTTATTATCCCACCAAACGAAGTTTGAGGGAGATATAGGAAAGCCACGTGACAAATAAATAAAATCAATTATAATCTACCTACATGATGTAGATATCCAAATGATGTAGAAATCAAATTCCCTATCCATTGGTATATAACATGACATGTTTCCATCAATAGAATCAATGTTTATTTTTGAAATACGAGTGTCCCATTTTTTGGACCACCCTGTATTGGTGTTAAAGCACCTTTTAAAATAAGACCTAGGTATAAGATAAAATGTAGTTAATGCCATACACAGGACCTCTATTTCCTCCAGTATTGCTTGTTCAGTGAACACAATTCTTCACTATTTTGCTTTCAGTTCCTGGATTTGCAGCAATTTTATCTTCCCCTAGACAGCAATCTGCTAGTGGATATGTTCAAGACTGATATAGCTTATTTACGCGAGGCTTGGAACATCCTGGGCCGTCCCACTGTGCTCTTTCCTATCGTGAACTCTCTCCTAGGTTAGTAGAAGATATGAAAATCTATCTACAAAATTGTTATTTGAGAATTTCCAAACTCTAATTCAGTATTTGAGAAATCATGGGAATTTTCTCAAGAATTTAAAGAAACCTCCCAGTTTTCAAACATGAGTGCTACCTTGAGTTTTCAAATGTGCTTCTTTCAAAATGTATTCGTGGTCATTTTTTAAAATGTTATGTTTCTAAAATGTCTCGTTGATCATGGTGCTCAAGAGTTATATTTCTAAAATATCCCATTGGTCATGTTTCTAAAATGTCTCATTGGTCATTTTTCAAAAAAGTTATGTTTCAAAATTGTCTTGGTGGTCATGTTTCTAAAGTGTCATAAATCATGACATTGTTTTAATTTTTGTGGATTTTAAAATGTCATTACTTTGTGAACATGGACACAACACAATGATTATGTTTTGACTTTGGTATTCTGCTGTACATGTCCCTTAGCTTGAATATCTCTGCATATATGCCCCACTTAAATACACAGTAAGTTTTGCTTATTCCTTCCCTGATTTGGTTTCTTTATATATTTACCCTTATGGCTATGGTTGGTTTGATCTCTGCTAAGTCCTTTCCCTATTACTATACCCTCTCATAGCATCATTAAAGGGTTACAATAAGCTTCCCTATTAAACACAAATAGAAGATCTTGAAACTTCACCCATAAATGTCAAATTGATTTGTCAAAATAAAAATCTCCCTTTTATAAATGTGTGATTATTCCTACATAAACAGGCAGAGATGTGTACGTAGTGCCTACAACCTGTGAACCCTTGAGTTTTATTCCCGGATCAGGTCTTTTATACTAAACAATGAGTTACACCAAAAACGAGTACCAGAAGTATTCAATTTGCTAAACGATATCCGTCACCCTTTAAAGTGTTGTTTTTGCTTCCCTGATTTGATTCTATACATATTGACCTTATGGCTATGGTTGGTTTGATCTCTGCTAAGTCATTTCCCTATTGCCATTCCCTTTCACAGCATCATTAAATGGTTATTTCTGGACAGTTCTTAGACAATGAGGCATTCTACTTGAGTCGGGATCATAATTTCTTGGTTGACCTGACAGCAACTGACATAGCTTGGTTCAAAGAGGCCTGGAAGAATAATGGGAGGCCTACTATGATTCTACCAATATTTAGATGGCTCGCAGGTATATCTAACCCTACTGAATTCAAGAAATTCAACACACTTGTTTCTATCCTAAGTCATGCTATTCTATAAAGAACAATGAAGAATAAGTAATGGATTGCTTATATGCTCCAAATATAAGAAGAGGAATAGTGTTTTTTAAATACTACATGTTCTAAATGGTGCCATTATAGTGCAACATGTATGTCTTGTGTGTTGTAATGTGTATTGTACTAGATAGTGGTGCAGTGTTATGATTTAGTTTTATATCTTAAAGCATGTATGAAAGCATTGCCATTCCAATAATATAATAATATCTGAAATCTAGTATACATAAGATAAATATGTTGAATTGAATGTTTTTCTTTATAGATTTCAACAAGACACTGAGTTCATCTCTGATAGCAACCATTAAGAAGCTACAGGCTGGTTACATTAATGGGACTAGGGTGCAGATTGGAAATCTCTCTGAGTTCCTCACGACATCTTGTGTCTCTAATCTTACATTTCTTACAGAAGCTGAAGGTAGGTTCAGTTGTGGCACTCTCATATACTCTTAATGTTTCCCTTACTATCCTATTTTGATCTTTGAAAAGGCATTCTTATACCTGATCAATTACTGACATTATTGAAGAGAGATGTCCAAATATATTAGAAACAACTACCAAACAACCTGCAAGTCGATGCTATTCTTTGTTGCCCCTTAACAACTCCTTATCTCAACACTTTTCATCACAATGGTGTTCAGATTAGACATTTTACTAAAGCATTAAAGTTTATATATTTGTAGAGGCAGTGTTGTTACGAACTATTACAAATATTGGAAGTATGACATGCCCTCGGCCGCACCTGCCTAGTGGTGCTAAAGGCAAGAGTCCCAGAGGTGGTAGTAGGCGGAGGTCAAGGTCAAATTCAATCCATGGGATTATAAAAAGGACAAGATCCATCCAGATTGACCCAAATGACCCAGGTAAAAGAATTCATTTTTACTTTTATATCTGGAGTATTCTCTATTTTGTATTTTTACATATATGTCCAAAATAATTTCTGCATATATTTTGTTTATTTTTTATTTTCTTTATTGTATTTCATTATCCCAACAAATGAAGTCCAGGAGCTCAAATGGACAGATTTCGTTCATATTTGGTAGAGGATGTATTATAGAAGATGGGCAAAATCTCATATTTAATCATAAAAATCTTGGTAGGGCATTTAATTACCAATTGAATAAAAGCAAATGCCATTTGACCTTGAATAAAAAATACAAGAAATCTCATTTCCCATGCTCATCAATTCATTTTCAAGTTTTATTCAGTGAGTTTAACTTACCAATGAAAATATAGCTGTTTTTTTTGGTAGACACTTAAAACATTTTACTATGTTAGTATACATTAAGGCAGACTCAAAACTACTGACATCTTGACTTTTGAGAGTCTTCACATCAAAGGGAACCTAATAATATCATACCCGAATATTATCATGTACCCTAATAAATCTTCTTGCGTCCACAAAAAAGTATACCCAACTTCAAATCCAAATTACCAAAATCCCAAGCAGTTTTTATAAAATACAAAGGTTGTAGTAAAAAGCCTGATTTATTCTCCATCAAATGGTACCAAGATCATTATATAACTGTCATGTATGACTGAGCAATCTTGACCATTATGAGAGGTGGTAAAATTAGCACCATGCCAAGTTACCTTCCTGTGTGGCAATTGACGTGTAATTGGCTTAGTATTCTTTTTTCTGTTACATTAAGGACGGGCCTTCCATACTGAACTGAACCTGGAACTGAGTAACTCTCTTATGAAAAAAGGTTTGGCAAAAAGCTTAAATTACTTTAAAATAAAGTTAAAAAATGGTTATACTGACACCTGAGCAGTAGAGCCAACAAAAAGTTCTAAAAAGCAAGTCCCATGTACTGTTTATATAGAACCCCTATTCTTACTATTGAAATGGATTCTAGCAATACTGTCCAATTTTTTTTGGACCCTGACACCTCTAAATATAGCCCAATATGATCATGTACTCAAAATAACCATATACAGGGTGACCAAAAATTGCCACCCACTAATTTTGGAATAACATTCTCAATGATAAAAGAATCTTTCAGATTTAGAGATACCACATTTTCTGTCAATGCATGCTCTCGGTGAAATCATCAAAAAAATGTTGAAAAATACAATTTTCTGAAATTGAGAATTCTGTCTTTAGCCATTATTTGAGTCATTTTTGGATTGCTTTCACACATATTATCAATAATATGTCATGTCTATCCATTTTCCTTAAATAATCTTTTCAAATCTGATGAACTGACTGGCTTATTAGGAACATTTTAAGAAAGACAGATTTTGTAGTTTACAATTTTGAGTGACTGCGTCAGAGAATGCCTCCACAGAAAATGAGATATCTCTTAATTTAAAAGTTATTGATGCTAGGCAAGCAAAGCAGTCTTTTCTTCATTGAACACTCTATCTACACATAAAAAATCATGAAGATTCCTTAATTATTGAGAGAGTAATTCAAAAATTAGTGGGTGGCATTTTTGGATCACCCTGTACCATAATATAATATACATGTATGTACCCCATAAGTACATGTTAGGGTTATCATCTTCTATTAAACATATCAAAGGTGATTTCATTTGTTGGGATTTGTCACTATCTCTTAGATCCTGTTTATGCAAAATGTGAAGAGGGGGGAAACCCCAGAGTTCAGAGATGACATATGTCTATTATCGTTGTTTATTGGTCATGTTGACAGACAAATGAAGCCATTCAATGGTTTTAAAACGCTTCAAATAATATTGTTAATATCTGGCATGTTAACCAACATCATATCTTGTTATTTCACATTAAGATGAAGAAATATGTAAGGAATATGCTAACATTGATTAAAACATCAGAACGATATGTGGTGAAAATTTGGACAAACGAAGGTAGTAAGCAAGAGATGTAATTATGTCTGTCATCTCCTAAGCTCTTGGGGTTTCCCTCCTCTTCAAAATTTTATTTTGAATTTTTGTTGTTTACTTCTTAAAGCAGGTATTTTTAAGTAAATATTATCTACTATATGTTTATCATTTAATACCTCACTCAATTTCTTACACTAGAGTAGATAACGTTGTTGTTTTTTACATCCTCTTGGTGATTTTGTGTTTTGTGAAGTGTTAACACCCTTTGTAAAGTAGACCAACTACTAACTGATTGTAGTGAGAATCACAAATGAAATCAAACATTTGTTAAGATAATTAACACATAAATCTTGTTCAAAAGGTCCCAAACACCAAAATGAAGAAATCAAAACAATCTGTGCATCTTCTAGACTTTGATGCAATCTTTCTGTTTTTGGAAGTATTACTTATTGCTCACAAAGAAGTGAATACACTGCCTTTTAAAATTGATAAAGGTGCATATGCACATAGTATATAAAGCTACCTAGAAGTTTTGGCAAATATTATCATATTTCAATTTATGGCTTCCTCTGGGTCCTTATATGACCCAAGTACTAATGGTAGAGAATTAGTTTTACATTTTAAAGTTACTTTCTTTGATTCTCACTACAATTCCTTGGAGTAATAAGAAGTTTCTTCTTACTGCCTGGAGAATGACATCCAAATGTTGACATTTTCTGAAAAACAATCAAGCCAAATTATTCCATCATGGTTTCAACTTTTCCTCCTCTCCATATGACTTATCCCTTCCCCCTAATGAAACATTGACACTAACTTTATTATGCAATAACTTTTGACAATTGGATGCCATCCCTCAATGTCACATTTACTGGATTTTCTCACCACCCTCTTTTAACAAACAGGTAGACCTTCACCTGTCCTCACTAGCTTTACAGGTAATATTTACTTGATAACTCTCATTTATACATTATACTTGTATAGCCAAGAAAATGCATGCTACACACAGTGTTTTCACTGACTGCATAATAAAACCTGCATTATATGAAACTATTTTGAAGGAAATGTACATGAATAATGATCTTGGTTTTGTACTTATCTTTTTGCAAAACTGACATAATCAGGTTTTATTGCAATACTCAAGCCCTCCTAAAAATCTTTTGTGGTCCAGTTGGAGGGGGTGCATGTTCATGCCAGATGCTGTTAAGTTAGTTTCAAGAATGAATGCTATTACTCGGAAAATTCACTTTTGGACCATTTAGAAGCTTTTTAAATAATTTCAGGTGTCCATCTGTCAACAATTATGCCACATTTTAAAATCTGGGTTGATAGGGTTCACATTTAAAGTTATTTTGGTTCTTCTTCAATACAGAAATCCCCCTGGTTTAAAAGCTTCCCTATTTTTAAAATGGCCGCCATTTTAGTCACTGGAAATTCACTTTTGGACCATTTATACGTAACTTTATGAATAAATTCATGTGACCTGCATAGTAAAAACACATGTCACTGAAGAAATCAGCAAAAACTTATATCTGTTTTGTTGAGCAACATTATGTGAGCCCAGTACCAACAGTACTATTTATTCTTATTATTTTTTAACCAAGTTGTGATACTTATTCATACTTAAACCCTTCCTGTTCCACCACCTTCCTGTTTGGGGTCCCTGGAAACCAATGTTTTGAGGTAAACTTTTTAAGCCCTTTTTCATTGCCTGACTTGCCAGTTCAAATCTTGTTTTCAGAATGGAATGGCTTCTAAGCTTCTAAGAGCAATTTTCAATTCATTAAATATTACTTTTTTCTCATATCATTTCTTGGCATGGCTACATTAGCATGTATGCCATTGGTAGACATATTTCATGTTACAAAGGTGTTCCATATAACAATTATTTGACTAATTGAATGGGGGAACCAATGCCCCGATGCAACCTTACTGAATTACTGATTATTGTACAGTTTGTATACACTCCTAGTTATCTCACACAAGTTCATTGCTTTGTGCTTTACAACTTTTGCTTATTGCAGCTTACTTACACAGCCATGTGAGCCTGCGCTTGACTGGTGAGTTTTGTAGAGTGGCCAGCATGCTTTCTAACTTTCAATGGAAAACTATCATAGCATATTTTACTAATGATAACTTTCTGTATAATATTGTGACATATAATTTTGTACCATATGGGTAATATTCATTTTTATCGCACTTTGAAAAAGTGCTATATTGCCGTCGTCTTGTGCTGTTGGGCGGGCGGGTGGGCGTGCGGGCGGGCGGGACATAAACCAAATCTTGTCATCAAATTTCCAGGATAACTGCTTACCTGTTCAACTTGAAATTTTTACAGATGCAAGAGCAGACTAGTACCAAGATCTGATTAGGTTAAGGGCATGCTGGGTAAACTACGTGGTGGCCATTTTGAATTTTTCAACAAATCTTGTCATCAAAATTCCAGGAAAACCACTTATCCGTTCAACTTGAAATTTTTACAGATGCAAGAGCAGACTATTGCCAAGATCTGATTAGGTTTTGGGTATGCTGGCTGAATTACATGGTGGCCATTTTGAATTTTTCAATTTGGCGGCCATTTTGAATTTTTCAACTTGCTCCAAATTGACCAAATTTTTTTTTTAAAAACATCTACAAGTTCTCAGAAGTTCAAATCTGACCTTAGATTTCAGATTTGACCTTTCATTTACCTTCAGTGACCTTGAAAAGGTCAAAAAAGTTGATTTTCTAAATTGATATTTTGGATTTAAATTTAGGTCAGCTTAATTACAAAACACCTACTGAGGTCTGAAAAAGTTAAATTTTCAAGGTCGAAGGTCAAGGTCATTAAACTAGGTCACAAATGATGTTATCCAAGTTTCTCAAAGTTTGAGACTACAAATCAATTCTTGTCATCAAAATTCCAAGAAAACCGCTAACCTGTTCCACTTCAAATTTTTACACATGCAATAGCAGACAAGTGCCAAGATCTGATTAGGTTTAGGGCATGCTGGGTAAACTATGTGGCGGCCATTTTGAATTTTTCAACAAATCTTGTCATCAAAATTCCAGAAAAACCACTTATCCGTTCAACTTGAAATTTTTACAGATGCAAGAGCAGACTATTGCCAAGATCTGATTAGGTTTTGGGTATGCTGGCTGAATTACATGGTGGCCATTTTGAATTTTCCAATTTGGCGGCCATTTTGAATTTTTCAACTTGCTCCAAATTGACCAAATTTTTTTTTAAAAACATCTACAAGTTCTCAGAAGTTCAAATCTGACCTTAGATTTCAGATTTGACCTTTCATTCACCTTCAGTGACCTTGAAAAGGTCAAAAAAGTTGATTTTCTAAATTGATATTTTGGATTTAAATTTAGGTCAGCTTAATTACAAAACACCTACTGAGGTCTGAAAAAGTTAAATTTTCAAGGTCGAAGGTCAAGGTCATTAAACTAGGTCACAAATGATGTTATCCAAGTTTCTCAAAGTTTGAGACTACAAATCAATTCTTGTCATCAAAATTCCAAGAAAACCGCTGACCTGTTCAACTTGAAATTTTTACACATGCAATAGCAGACAAGTGCCAAGATCTGATTAGGTTTAGGGCATGCTGGGTAAACTATGTGGCGGCCATTTTGAATTTTTCAACAAATCTTGTCATCAAAATTCCAGGAAAACCACTTATCCGTTCAACTTGAAATTTTTACAGATGCAAGAGCAGACTATTGCCAAGATCTGATTAGGTTTTGGGTATGCTGGCTGAATTACATGGTGGCCATTTTGAATTTTTCAATTTTGCGGCCATTTTGAATTTTTCAACTTGCTCCAAATTGACCAAATTTTTTTTTAAAAAACATCTACAAGTTCTCAGAACTTCAAATCTGACCTTAGATTTCAGATTTGACCTTTCATTCACCTTCAGTGACCTTGAAAAGGTCAAAAAAGTTGATTTTCTAAATTGATATTTTGGATTTAAATTTAGGTCAGCTTAATTACAAAACACCTACTGAGGTCTGAAAAAGTTAAATTTTCAAGGTCGAAGGTCATCAAATTAGGTCACAAACGATGTTATCTAAATTTTCCCAAAGTTCCAGACTACAAATAAATTCTTGTCATCAAAATTGCAGGAAAACCGCTAACCTTGTCAACTTGAAATGTTTACAGATGCAAGAGCAGACTAGTGCCAAGGTCTGATTAGGTTTTGGCCATGCTGGGTAAATTGCATGGTGGCCAGTTTGCTCTTCAAAGTGCGATATTTATCACTGTGTGTCTTGTTAACAAAACACAGCATACATCACCCATTTTATCATCCATTTATGTAACAGTGATGCCCAAGTTACTGAACACATATCTGTATATAAAGCCATCCTTTAGTTATTGTTTATATAGTATAGCCTTGAACAATTAATGCCTTCATTATGGTACATGATATATATGTGAACCCAACAATTTCTAGCTTTTTATAGATAATTGTTTGTCTCTATTCTAAATTGGGCTCCAGATCTATCTTTATTTGGATATGCATGAATGCATATGAATTGAACATGGTTGCCTGCACAAGAGTAAACATTGATGTATTGGGAGTTATCATAGCATTTAGAGAGATGTATTTTTGGTATGAATTGTGTCCATGGATGAGCTGTTTTTGAGAAGTGTATTGAGGTTGTAAATGTACATTTTCATGTTTTACATCCTACAAAATGTTTATAGATGTATGTGCTTTGTGGTAGAAGTACTTGTTGTATTCATACTTAGCAAACCAATGTAGCTTTTAGGTAACTATAAACAACCTCTAAGTTTTTATTTTTTCTTAATCAATAAATTTCAGATCCCATAAGTAGTTGGAGTATAGGGTCCTGTACAGGTGAGCCACAGTGCATCTGCATGCCCCCACCACAACAGATCTTTCCAATAAACCCTGCCATCATTTGCTGTACTAAAAAATAGTAAGCAAAGTTTGTACACACAACTTATGACGTCAAAGTACATAGCTTGTTGAGTGTTGCAAAATGTTGCAGGTTTGGAAAGGTCTCCTTTGCTGTGGACCAATTGTCACAATGCAGGAGTAGGAACAACCCTTTAAGCACAATTTCAGTTTCCTCTCACAAGGTTATTCTATTTTTTTAATATTTCCCCATATTATTGGATCGGTCAATTAATATTTACTAATGTCACATATATAATATATTATAGCTCTCACTGTTGACTAGTAGACTACTGTATTACATTCAGGTGTATGAATTGTAAGGCAGGTTCATTCATAAGCTGAACTATTTTGGCCTTTGGTCCAGGTCAACTCTTTATTACAATCCACAATACCCTGAAGGTTCAGTAGAAATCTTAGCACTGTCCAATAGACTACACCCTGGGAATCAGGACTTTAAACAATTTCAAGAAAACAAAGAGAGACTTCAACATTCCAACATCAATGATAAAATGCACAAAAGAACAATGAATTGTGTCAGTTAACCCCCCCCCCCCCTTATTCCCCTTACATCATACAACACTACAGTACTTGCAATTAAAAACCATAAAACCATGTAGAATTGTGTCAGTCACATTCAGTTTTGCATTACAGGGTGATCCAGAAGTAATGTCAAAGATGTTGCCAGCCACTGGAGTAATCTTCTTGAAACTTGGTACAGATGTTCCACAAACATTATTGAGTTCATTTCCTAAGAATAAAGATTTTACTATTTGATTAGTTCCTTTCATGGTTACAATATGGTAACCCAATGTTATGTCACCTTCTCCACTGGATAAACCTAAATGAATATCAATATTGATATTAATATTAAATATTATTATAATATTTCAATTTATGTTCTTTCTGTTTCATGTAATCATTGGGCAAAATCAATGTCATCATTCATGATGGCAAAACACTAATTAACACCCTTGGTATACGCAGCTAACGAAAATTGACCGGTACGGGTCAAAAGGTGGACCAGTACGGGTTAACGGTTTTATTTGAATTTAAAACAGCCATAACTTGCTCAATATTGACTTCCTCGCGTCTAATTTGAAATATATGATGCCTCCCGATGCTTTTAAGTACCCCAATTTTTTACAGATTTTTAAACGAACCAAAACTCTCTAAATGCGCATTTATGCTCTTTTCTCTCGAGAATGACTGTCTCATTTTCACGATAACTTTTATTTAGTACTTCTAACATATAAGATCTATTTTTCCCCATCAAGGTATGATGTAAATGACATGCTATTTACATCTTGTGAGTTTCAATGACGCGCGTTTGATTTAATAAAAAATGCCAAACTTTGTGACAAAGAATTTCATCAGCTATTGCCCCGAACCGGTCCGTCTTCTCGCTGCAAGTAGATTGCCCCGAACCGGTCCGTCTTCTCGCTGCAAGCAGGATGAAATTCTTTGTCACAAAGTTTGGCATTTTTTATAAAATCAAACGCGTGTCATTGAAACTCACAAGATGTAAATAGCATGTCATTTACATCATACCTTGATGGGGAGAAATAGATCTTATATGTTAGAAGTACTAAATAAAAGTTATCGTGAAAATGAGACAGTCGTTCTCGAGAGAAAAGAGCATAAATGCGCATTTAGAGAGTTTTGGTCCGTTTAAAAATCTGTAAAAAATTGGGGTACTTAAAAGCATCGGGAGGCATCATATATTTCAAATTAGACACGAGGAAGTCAATATTGAGCAAGTTATGGCTATCTCAAATTCAAATAAAACCGTTAACCCGTACCGGTCCAGCTTTTGACCCGTACCGGTCAATTTTCGTTAGCTGCGTATACCAAGGGTGATTAAGTCATTTTTTTATTTTCTCTGATCAACTAAGCATCATAATAGCAATTGCACTATGACACCCAGAACAGTCTTCACTGTGATAATGTCTACAATCACATAAGTACAACCAGTAGAGTTGATGAACTGGAATGTTTTTGCAAAGTGACTACTACATGTATGACATGAAAAATGCATTGCAAATGGTGGTAATTATGTAGAGTAGCATGTATATGATAATTTACAATCATAATTTTGTGTTTTTAAATTTTTCATTCAATTTTCTACTAAAAGATAACTTGCCTAGGTGATGTCACATCGGGTTACCATAGAAGCCATGGAACCCAGTAATTGAATAGTAGAAGTGTTATTTTTTAAGATATTTACTCAATAATTTTTGTTGAACATCTGCACCAAGTTTGAAGAATATTGGTCCATGTGTATTGAAATGGCAATGTCTTTGACATTACTTCTGGATCACCCTCTATTTCTTCAAATATATTCATATATGAAATATAATTTAGCATACATGTTTTAGAATACAATGCAATGTTTAGGCATGTATTACAGATTTAAAAGCAATAGTCGTTTAATCAGATTAATTGCTTATGACTCATCCTGCCTGGTGGTGGTCTATACTGTATAAAGGCCATTCAAAGTTATTTTGATATATTCAAATCTGGGAAGGGTATGGGGTAGAAAATCATATGAAAACACAATCTTTATTTTTTTTTATGGGTTTTGTATTGTTCAACAATTCAAATACCATAAATATATACAACTGAACCATTTGTGATTGATAAAATGAAACACCCTTTGAGCATCACATAAACTTTTTACAAAGACAATACTAAAGCTGAAAAACTATATATAGTTTTCAATCCAGGAAGATTTATATCAGTGAGAATGTTATAGTTATAGTTTTTCTTCCCAATACAGTTTTGCTATAGCGAATTATTCTAATGAATTTGACTGTTTCTACACTGAACAAAAGCATTTTCCCTGGAATATAAGAGTGGGAGATGCATATGTAGCAGGATATACAAGGGTTATGGACTGGGAGGTCTTGGATATAGGGTATATCCCTCGGGATATATTTATATCTCCCCGAGGGACCGAAGTGACCCTATATCCAAAACCGACCGTACATAACTGGTGTATCTCATACTTGAATGGGTTTGGGGAAGATGTAACCCTTTCCTACTTTTTCAGATGACAAGATAGGCCTAATAATAGTAAAAGTACAATTAATATTTAACATTTTCGTAATATTGCTTTAGTTCAATACAATAGAATTATAACATTTAAACTTTAAAAAAAATTAAACTCTTAAAATTTAAAACTTAAAGGGGCAACAAGGACTAGGTAGAGAGAAAATTCGAAATTATTATTTTTTTTCTGAGCTGTCAGGTCAATATTTGGCTTAACACCTTCTTTAACATACCTATTTTCTTAAAATGTATGTATAAACTATCAATTTCAGCATTAAGAAGTGTAAATTCAGTTCAAAGCTTCTATAAAGGGAGTCCCACTTATAGATTTTTAAGATCCACCACGTTTCAAGAGGAATATCAGCTGAAATAATGTTCATCCAGGGGGTTTCTTTGTAGATAATGAAAATATATGTTAGTCTTGATGAAATATCCAAACTTAAATATATTTTGACACTGGTAGATGATCGTTGAATGCCCCCCCCCCCCCCCATGCACTAATTGTTGCACCTTTAAAACTTTTAAAAAATTTTGTTTTTTAAACTTTTGAAAAATTTCCAGGAGCGGGATGGATATATTATATTGGCCCGCAATAGGCCTGGAGCGGGACATATACAATATATCCTGCTCGCTCTCCAGATATGATATATATTCCCGGGTGATACCTACCCCAAACCCACTCAAGTATGAGATACATATACGTATGTCACACTTCCCCAAGATATCAATCCTATGTCCCGCTGCCCTAGACCCTCGTTAGAAAATAATACCATACTAACATACTTTTTAGCTAAATCCTTTAGGTTATGAGAAGTGTCACATGTTCATCCAAATTTTATGTAGCTTGAGATGGTTGTTTTAAAAGTAGTTGTTAACTTGATGGTTATCTTAAGTTTGTGAACATGTTGTGTTCTACTTGTATAACTATAAGATCATCTAAGTGAAAACAGGTTTACAAAGTGTCCCCAGAAATATGAAGAATATGATATATATGTACAATGTACAGTATGGAACTGTAAAGCATATGACTGTTGTGTACAATGTATTAAATGTTGGACTGTGAGGCATATGACTGATGTGTGTACAATGTACAGTATGGAACTGTAAAGCATATGACTGTTGTGTACAATGTATTAGATATTGAACTGTGAGGCATATGACTGATGTATACAATGTACCAAGTGTAGTACTGTAAAGCATATGACTTGTGTACAATGTATTAGATGTTGAACTGTGAAGATATGACTGATGTACCAAGTATGAAATTGTGAAGCATATGATGGCTGTGTACAATAATGTTTCAGATGTGACACAGTAAAGCATATTGACTGCTATGTATACAATGTACTAGGTGTGGAACCGTGAAGCATATGATGGTTGTGTACAATAATGTATTAGGTGTGGAACACTGCATATGACTGCTATGTGTACACTTGACTAACTGTGGAACTGTTATATGTGTACAATGTACACTGTTGCTCATAAATATGGAATACTTTTCAATTTACCATTGCTTTCCTCAATTTCAATGCCTCTCAAAATTTAATGAACAGAGATTTTTCAAATGTTTTCCATAGACTGGTCAGGAAAAATTAAGTCTGACACATTTGTAGTTAACAAAATTTTCCATTTCCCAGGAATTAACCTGTCAGAATCCATTGGTATCTCAGAGAATATTCTGGTAATAGAGTGTATTCTTCAGACTAATAAAGGATTGCTGGACATATTATAACAATCAGTCAGTATACATTCATGCAATTACTTCTTTTAGTAAAGACAATATACTGATTTTTGTAAAATGCCCATTACCAATATTCCATATGTTTGACCAACAGTGTACTTAGGTGTGGATTTGTTTCCATAGTCGAATTAATAGTGTAAAATAATAAATGTAACAATTATTTAGTTAATATTAGTTATATAATTTGCTTTTCCAATTCAGCTTTTGTCACATAGATTTTAATTTTATTTTAATCAATTTATTTGCCACCATTGTTGTAATACTGTTGACTTGACACTCTCATATGTCAATGTTTCTCAGATACATGTCATATGTGAAATGTTGCTTAAGAACATGTCAGGTCAACAATGTTTCTCATTCTACTGCATGCCAATCCAGAGTAACATTGCAAAAGTGACCCATTTATATATAACATATTCTCACTGATGCTTACCGTTATCTTTTCGCAGATCTTCAGAAGTTGCAGCTGCAGTCTAGTGGTAGTTCCTTTACATCATCAACTATGACATCACCAAACCTGAGCTCTGCATCTAGTATGGGTAACATGCAGGATATCCTTCATGAGCCAACATCTCCTACTGACATTCGCCCCAGTGGTAGCCATGGTGAGGAGGAGTGGTTCCACAGGTAACATTGTATTATATGGAATGACAAAGCAAATCATAATGTCCTTTACCAAACCTGTACCATGATTAGAGGAATGCTCTGTCATTAAAGATCCCCCAGCCTTAAGTTGATATTTAACTCTCCCTTAAAGGGGTCATAATGTTAGTTCATTAACAAAACTTGTAACTAATACTCAATGAAATTCTAAGTACATAAAATGCGGGGATATATAAGTATTTTGGAAATGGAATGCATAGTTCTGTATGACCTCACTATTTTTTTAATTCTATAATACATTTATTATGTCATGTTAATGAGTTGTCTTCCAAAAAAAGTTAAAATATCTGGATCCTTAGAAAAAGTAAAATGCACCTAAAGATGTTGGTATAAAATGGATACGTTTGTTATGTGCAGTTTGTTTTCGATGCAGGGTTTATCTCAAGGGAAGTATGTGTATCTGCAATATAAATGTAAGAGATACACATACTTTATTCTGGATAAACCTCCCAGAACAGGGTGACAAAAAAAAACAGGACCCTCTTAAAGTATGATAATTTCTCAAATACCTATCCTATCAACCCAATTTTTATGTGCATAAGCTAGAATCTATGGATGCTAAGATGATATTAAGGTTATTTCACAAAATTGATTATTTGTGATATCATGGATGATCTTAAAATGTGACCAATTTTCGGAAAATCTACATTTAGACAAAATCATGTCTTGAGCTTTATGAGAAATTCAGAAGGAAATTCCAAAGAAGTCGTCAAATGAAAGTCTCATTGAATATTTTAATTATCCCACCGAACGAAGTTCGAGGGGGATATAGAGAAGCCGTCCGTTTGTCCATCCGTCCGTGTGTCGGGGCGATAACTCCAATACCGGTTCAAATTTTATAGGCTTATGCCTTATGAGTGTAGTACCTCTGCTCGAGAAGGAATTTTCAATATGGCCGCTCAATTTAAAATGGCCGCCATTTTTCGTAAAAAATGTAATCGTTGATAACTCAAATACAAGTTGACGGATTTGGTTCAAATTTTATATGCTGATGCCTAGGGACAAAGGATTTTTGCTCAAAAAGAGATTTTCAAGATGGCCGCTTAATTTCAAAATGGCGGCCATTTTTCATAAAAATATGTAATCTTTGATAACTCAAATACCAGTGAACGGATTTGGTTCAAATTTTATATGATGATGCTAAGGGACACAGTAGCTATGTTCGACAAAAAATTTTCAAGATGGCGGCTGAATTTCCAAATGGCGGCAATTTTTCGTAAAAAACGTAATCTTTGATAACTCAAATACCAGTGAACAGATTTGGTTGAAATTTTATATGATTATGCCTAGGGACACAGTTGCTATGTTCCACAAAGAATTTTCAAGACGGCCGCTTTATTTCAAAATGACGGCAATTTTTTGTTAAAAAAACATAATCTTTGATAACTCAAATACCAGTGAACGGATTTGGTTCATATTTTATATGATGATGGCTAGTCAAAACATGTTCGGTGGGATTTGCTACTCCGTGGAGTTCATGTTTCTCTAGTTGAAAAATGAAGAATAGGCAGTGGTAAAACAACTAGTAAAACATCAGATAACTGTAATTCCTGGCCTCTGAGCAGGAACACCTCAAATGCTGTACCAAATTCCATTGTATGAATTCTCAAGAAATCATTAAGACAGCAGAATTATCAGTTAAGAGCATTGCAAAACATGTGATTTCAAACACTCAAATATTTGATAATGAGTTGGAAGAGGAAGAAACACCTCTGAAACACCTGAATGGCAAAAATGATCAGCTTACACTTATCTAGTGAGGTTTCTAAGAATAGGGTAGGAGAAAACTCAAAAGGTGCAGCCAATCTTAAGATGGCTTAAAAGTTGCTGGGACACTTCCTCATTAATGATCTCAACCTCTATACTCACAAAATGCAGCTTAAAAAGAAAGTAAAATAATGTGATGGGTTTAAACAAATGATGAGAAACCTTTGGTTGACACGAAAATCTTACATTTTGTTTTCTTTCAAAAGTGGGCACATTTTTTGATTGATCATAACAAGAAAAATATTGAATGTTATGTTACGGATGTGTCCGGGTATATGCCCTTTTGGTTCCTCAGTCAAATGTATGTGAAATATGGTTTTTATTACTGTCCTAGTTATATTTGATAAGTATATTTACTTTTTCACGAGTTTTGATGCATAATTAACCCCCTGCTGAGAGTCAGAATAAGTATCTTAACAACAACAAAAATAGTCAGTATCATAGAAAAAACTCCAATGGCAACATGTATGACATACAAAGAAGAAATAACTTCAGACCCATGAAGAATTAAAGAGAAAATCATATTTTTGAAATATATTTAGGGATTACAATTTTTTCAAATTTTTGAATTTCCCGCCAGTTTAATTTGAAGGGGGAAAAACAAGATGGTTGCCATTTGATGTAAGAAATATCAGAAAAAAGTTGCTTTACTTTTAGTTTTCACAATGAGCACAGTTTTCCGGTTTAGGTTTTTTGGCTGATTCTGACTCTTCATCACCAAGGTCATGTATAGAGATTATAAAATTGAAACCAAAATGTTGTGCTCATCATGAATTTGACTGAAATATGTATAATTTCACCAACACAATTGAAGTGTCAAAACTGTATGCTCAGTAACTTTGAGTGACTATAATCCCTTGATTACCCAGATAAACACCAATTCACTTATCCAGAAATACCATTCAATGTCTATACAAAGAAAGTAACCAATGTTTTGGAAGATATGTTTCAAACTTTTTGCATAATTAATTCATTTAATATTTGCCATTGATTTTCTTTCAATTCTGACAAAGTGATATGCACTGTCTTTGATGCCAATATTCTTCATCAATTGTGATACAAATTGATATTTTTGTACTCTCAGAAGAAGGATAAGATATTGAAGTTTAATAATATGTGTGATTGAGTTGGTTTTTCAGACATTACAATTTTCAATATTTTCTAAGTCGATACCCAGACTTATTCCCAGACTCATGCTTTGGTCTCACATTGTCATCCATAGATTATAGTTTCTGCACATAAAAAATGAAGCTGATTACATTTTGTGTTAAAGATATTATTTCATTTTTGGAGGGTTCTGTTTTTGGGTCACCCTGTATATAAATTAACAGTATATTGTAAAAAGCTTTCTGATTTCTAGAGGAGAATCTGGTGTGTACTCTGACATTGAATACCAAGAGCTTGTGGATCAACTGCGGGAAACTGAATCTCTACATGAACAGGCAGACATCATACACTACCTTTGGGTAACCAAGTATGTTAGTCAATTCATTCATTCTATAAGGACTCTTTTCCCAACCAAACAAAGATGTAGCCATCCCTACACCCTTCCATCTGTCCATCCTATCTGGATGATAACTCAAATACCTGCAGACAGATTTTGTTCAATTTCATAGGCTGACACTTTATTGGCATAGAACCTCCGAGCAAAAGTATTTTATGTGGCAAATACTCTGAACTCTCATCTAGTCTTTGGTGTATCTTAAACATATTGTTTGTAGGGGCTCAGACTGGGACACCCAGATTGGGGGTAAAGCTGGATGCACTGTCACTGAGTTGCTCAAGGAGCTATATGAAAAGGTATGCACAAGTAGAGATCGTCACGATCTTAAAATAATTGAACTTGTATCTTACCCTTTCTATGTCCCCAACACATAGTTTGGGGCATATTGTGGGCCTAGGTGTTTTTAAGTCAAATGCTGCAATCCTTGTATGCAAAAAGAGAATAGCTTCACAGTTAGTTTTTAAACTTTAACATCTTCTCTAACTAACTTCTATCTACATCTGATAAGGGTTTTAGACATGTTTGCTAATTCATGGCAGCTATTTGAATGTCTCAAGATATGTCAGCGAATGATCTCACTTTGCATCATATTAACAAATTTTTATCAAATCATATTTGCAAATCCCAAACTGAATAGTTTTTGGGCATTCTGAGGAAATGTTATAGTAGCCATTTTAGATTTTCTATCCTAAAATCTTGTCTTTTTGGACGAAAATTCTGTATGGGAATATTTTGTTGTGTGAAGGTGTACATGTTTGTGTCCTTATGTGTCCTTGTAATGTTCTTGTAATTCTAAATATTATGCAGCATAAAGTGACCTCTGTATATTAGGGGCACATTTTATATTCACTTGAAATCATTTTTGTCAAGGCTGGTCATTTAAAGCAGTGGTGGTTAGTACGGCACACGGCAGGTATGTTACGTAAACGGGTAGAAGACCTGGCCAAGGCAGCCACAGATATTCTAGTCCGACAAAAACAGTTGTCAGTTGGTCTGCCCCCTGAGCCAAGGGAGAAAATAATAACAAGGTATATCATAATTTCTCTGATTCCTATACAAATTATCATATTTCAGGAAATAAAATGTGTTCTATACATGTATGTACCTTTCATATCATGCCACAGTCAAATTAATGAATCTGTATAATAAACTTGCTGTCATAACATACAGTACATACTTTATGTCTACCCTTACTTTTATTGTATTCTGAGACCTCATCTTCCCATTGAACAGGCTAAGATACCATACTTATACATTACAGATCTCATCTTCCCATTGAACTTGCTTTGATAACATACTTATACATTACAGACCTCCTCTTCCAATTGAACTTGCTAAGATACATACAGTGTACTTATACATTACAAATCTCATTTTCCCATTGAACTTGCTAAAATACGTATACATTACAGACCTCATCTTCCCATTGAACTTGCTAAAATACTTATACATTACAGACCTCATCTTCCCATTGAACTTGCTAAAATACTTCAACATTACAGACCTCATCTTCCCATTGAACTTGCTAAGATAACATACTTATACAGTACAGACCTCATTTTCCCATTGAACTTGCTAATATACTTCAACATTACAGACCTCATCTTCCCATTGAACTTGCTAAAATACTTATACATTACAGACCTCCTTTTCCCATTGAACTTGCTAATATACTTCAACATTACAGACCTCATCTTCCCATTGAACTTGCTAAAATACTTATACATTACAGACCTCATCTTCCCATTGAACTTGCTAAGATAACATACTTATACATTACAGACCTCCTTTTCCCATTGAACTTGTTAATATACTTCAACATTACAGACCTGATGTTCCCATTGAACTTGCTAATATACTTCAACATTACAGACCTCATCTTCCCATTGAACTTGCTAAAATACTTATACATTACAGACCTCATCTTCCCATTGAACTTGCTAAGATAACATACTTATACATTACAGACCTCCTTTTCCCATTGAACTTGTTAATATACTTCAACATTACAGACCTCATCTTCCCATTGAACTTGCTAAGATAACATTCTTATACATTACAGACCTCATCTTCCCATTGAACTTGTTAATATACTTCAACAGTACAGACCTCATCTTCCCATTGAACTTGCTAATATATTTCAACATTACAGACCTCATCTTCCCATTGAACTTGCTAAAATAGTTACACATTACAGACCTCATCTTCCCATTGAACTTGCTAAAATACTTATACATTACAGACCTCATCTTCCCATTGAACTTGTTAATATACTTCAACAGTACAGACCTCATCTTCCCATTGAACTTGCTAATATATTTCAACATTACAGACCTCATCTTCCCATTGAACTTGCTAAAACAGTTACACATTACAGACCTCATCTTCCCATTGAACTTGCTAAAATACTTATACATTACAGACCTCATCTTCCCATTGAACTTGCTAAGATAACATACTTATACATTACAGACCTCATCTTCCCATTGAACTTGCTAATATACTTCAACATTACAGACCTCTACCTCCTGATGAACTTGCTGCAATAATCCATGACGCATGTGGAGAAGACATCAGCACTGCAATGCTTACTCAAGAAATCCTTGTCTATCTTGCCATGTTTATACGCACAGAGCCAAAACTTTTCCATGAGATGTTGCGTCTGAGAGTGGGTTTGATTATACAAGTCATGTGCTCAGAGTTGGCCAGGACACTTAAATCATCAGGTAGGCTATTTAACATGACAATTATCAGATATTTATTAGATGTAAGTAATCATAGTAATCAATCATCATTTATAAAACATGATAATCATTATAATCATATTAAATTATTAGGTATTCAACATTCAGCATATAATAGGTATTTAATTTTTTATTAAAAAGGTATGTAAAATGAGAAACATTTAGGTATTTGACTTGATAATCATCAGATATTTAATTAAATAATCAGTATTTAAACATGTTGATCATAAGATATTTAACATGATAACCATTTGATAATTTGATGAACATTTTACGTAATCACAGGTTTTAAGCATGATTTAGTATTTATGTATTATTCAGGTATGCCAGATAATCATCACATGTGATGATTGTACATCAATACATTAGATTGTGCTGATCATACGTCAATACATTAGATTGTGATGATATACATCAATTCATTAGAATGTGATGATCACACTTCAATACAATAATTGTGATGATCATACATCAGTGCATTAGAATGTGATGATCACACATCAATACAATAGATTGTGATGATCATACATCAATACATTAAATTGTGATGATCATACAGCAATACATTAGATTGTGCTGATCATACGTCAATACATTAGATTGTGATGATCATACATCAATACATTAGAATGTGATGATCACACATCAATACAATAATTGTGATGATCATACATCAATACATTAAATTGTGATGATCATACAGCAATACATTAGATTGTGATGATCATACATCATTGCATTAGAATGTGATGATCACACATCAACACAATAGATTGTGATGATCACACTTCAATGCATTAGATTAGATTAGATTGTGATGGTCATTCATAAAAACGATTTATTGTGTTTGCTTGTAGGAGAAGATGCCTCTGATCATCTTTTAAATCTGAGTCCCTTTGAGATGAAGACACTGCTGCACCACATCCTTAGTGGCAAGGAGTTTGGTGTAACTAATGGTAGGGCAATACAAACAGAATCAGAAAAGAAAGAATAAAGTATCACAATGCAAAAGCAATATTCTAGTAAAATAATAGTCTTCCTTCAATGGCTTTCTAAAATTAAGTTTAGAATACAGGCAAAAACATAAGATCCAAGAGCTTCAATCTGGAGCCTGGACAGTTTTTCTACTTTACCTATATATATATATACTATAATATCATATCTAAATTGTAATATTACAGAATGTTTCAAAATGACCATCCCCATTAACCACCAGTTCTAGATAGTACAGTATACTCTACTCTACTATGAAAGTTCAATGTTCAATGGAGGCTTTTCCATATAGCTTTGAAATCCTGTTAAAGTCTCGTTTTGAATGAGATTTTAGGAGATCTGCATTAAAGACTATCATTTTCTTCTATTTGATGGCATATTTGAATTCTAAGTGTAATTTTCTATCAAAGCACCTTTGATTTGCTCTGTTATTTACCTTTATTCAAATTCTAGAGATTTTCAAGTTTTCTAAAAATGGTCGGGCTAAATCCCCATTGACACAATGTTGAAAAACCTTTAAGAGTTAATTTACTCTAATACAAGGATCACAATTTTAATGTGAAATCACAGTCCACATCTCAATGATATCATATAGTTACATTCCAATAGTGTTTAAGTTAATCCAAATGGAATTACTTGTCAAATTGAGAAATTAAGTTACTTGCTATTGAGATGCCATGTTTTTTAGCCCTACCAATACCCATGATGCCATCTATTTTCCATTTATGTGGAAAATGGTCAATTTTGGACTCATTAGAACATATTTGTTTAAACTAAACTGTTTTCCAACTTCTCATATATCTCTACAAAACATACCCATTAGACCTTTAAGCACACAATCTGAGAAGAGCATCTTTTTCTCAAAATTGCCTGTGCACCCTGCTAACAGCAAGGACCAACCATATCTCAACACACTATTATCTCTAGAAATATAAAAATCATAACATTTGAGGATATATCACGGTGATAATTGAAAGCAAAATAGAAGAACTATCCATAGAGAGCTCTAAATGATACAATGGTATAGCAATCTGTTCATCTCTTTAAATCCATTATGATTAGAATGAGGTAATAGTGACTAGCTTATGACATGATGTCATGTGGTCTATGATTGGTTGTGGATGGGGGAGGAGAAGTCATTATGAAACACCATGTACACTGTTTATAAAATGACTTTTTACATAATTTGATGCATTAATGTGTCAGTGTTTAATGGAGGTCATAATAAAATTGCAATATTAAAGGTAAATGTGTCTTTGATAACAGACAATTATGAATTGTATCATTTTACTACTAAAGATATATATTTGTGTAACATTGTGGGCATAGATAGCTATGAGGCATCTGCGTTAATTGCCAGTATTTTGCAGAAGGATGTTTTCGACTGAAATTTATGTCCCATAGGAATATGATATCCTCTTTGACATAATTTCACCTTACCTATTGTAGTACTCTGCCTATGCTCCTGTACATGTTAGATGCTAGAGTGTTAGTTGTGTTTTGTTTCAGATGAAACTGAACAGTATGGTAAGCAGCTGTCCATCATGTCTCTACAGGGTAACAAGTCTGTTCAATCTGCGAAGATGAGAATCAAGGAAGAGATGAAGGTGCTACAACACTATAACACAATACACAATGATTACTATCATGATGGTCATGTTGAAACACTAATTCCACTTGTAAGGGGGGGGGGTATCAAGGAAGAGATGAAGGTGCTACAACACTATAACACAATGCACAATGATTACTATCATGATGGTCATGTTGAAACACTAATTCCACTTGTAAGGGGGGGGGGTATCATGGAAGAGATGAAGGTGCTACAACACTATAACACAATGCACAATGAATACTATCATGATGGTCATGTTGAAACACTAATTCCACTTGTAAGGGGGGGGGGGTATCATGGAAGAGATGAAGGTGCTACAACACTATAACACAATGCACAATGAATACTATCATGATGGTCATGTTGAAACACTAATTCCACTTGTAAGGGGGGGGGGGTATCATGGAAGAGAAGAAGGTGCTACAACACTATAACACAATGCACAATGAATACTATCATGATGGTCATGTTGAAACACTAATTCAACTTGTAAGGGGGGGGGGGGGGTATCATGGAAGAGATGAAGGTGCTACAACACTATAACACAATGCACAATGATTACTATCATGATGGTCATGTTGAAACACTAATTCCACTTGTAAGGGGGGGGGGGTGTCATGGAAGAGATGAAGGTGCTACAACACTATAACACAATGCACAATGAATACTATCATGATGGTCATGTTGAAACACTAATTCAACTTGTAAGGGGGGGGGGGGTATCATGGAAGAGATGAAGGTGCTACAACACTATAACACAATGCACAATGATTACTATCATGATGGTCATGTTGAAACACTAATTCCACTTGTAAGGGGGGGGGGGGTATCAAGGAAGAGATGAAGGTGCTACAACACTATAACACAATGCACAATGAATACTATCATGATGGTCATGTTGAAACACTAATTCCACTTGTAAGGGGGGGGGGGTGTCATGGAAGAGATGAAGGTGCTACAACACTATAACACAATGCACAATGATTACTATCATGATGGTCATGTTGAAACACTAATTCAACTTGTAAGGGGGGGGGGGTATCATGGAAGAGATGAAGGTGCTACAACACTATAACACAATGCACAATGAATACTATCATGATGGTCATGTTGAAACACTAATTCCACTTGTAAGGGGGGGGGGGTGTCATGGGTGGTAGTATTTCAACTTTCCACTCCTTATTTTAAAGCCCTCTTGTTTCATATTTCTGGAGACAACATCTTTCAAAATCTCTTTTCTCACTGTCCCATAGAATATAGGGATATAGAGAAAACATCTATCCATTTGTTCGCTTGTCTGTCGAGTGATATCTTAACAGATTAGTTTTTATGCTGATGCCAATAAGGCTGCTCAGTTTAAAATGGAAATCATTTTTATAAAAAAATATAATCTTTGACAATTCAAATACCAGTTGTCAGATTTGATAAAGCTTGTGTGTATTGATACCTTATGGTTATAGGAACTTTCAAAATGGCTGCTAAATTTAAAAAAATGTCACGTTATGACTTTATATTTTCTCCAAAGGATATTACTGCTTGGATATTTCTATGAATGATACATGTATCATTGTCAAAATGACATTTTGTTTGGTAGGATTTGTTACTTCATTTTCCTAATTTTCACATTCCATAATTTCCTTATCATAATCATATCATGATGTAATCCTTGAACAGGGAAAAAAGAAACATGTATCTTATACAAAGGCAGTGGAAAATGATTCAATTAGAATTAAGTAAAACATGACCATTTATGAGTTTTTATTGTGATATAATATGTGTATTAGGGATCCCACAATTAATTTATGCACTGATATCAATAAGTGAACTCAAAGATATCTTGGGTATCATTGAATCTTCAGATTGTGTTGTGGAACCCCTAATCATAATCATGTCTTGGTGTGGGTGAATTATTAGGTATGACAGCCTCATATTAAGAATAAAGCCTCTCAGTGACTGGGGAGGGGAACATTCAGGAAAGTTGATTGTCATTCCTAAAAACTTTTCTGTCACATCTTTAACATACTTTCAGAGAAGCTGCAATAGTAATACATGTCCTTGAAATATTCTTATAAACAATATCTATGGTTATTTTGAACAATATATTTCAGCTTTTCTACTAGGCAACATTTATGAAAATTATTTTGTTGAGTCTTCATAGATGCTGCCACCCATGTCTATTGCTTTTCTATGCTTTTTAGACCCAACTTCTATGTATCACCAAATTCATCAAATCCCAACTGGAACCTCTCCTTCACGTAATTCTTTTCAGGTTTTAGCCACACACTATTTTATGGTTGCTTTATTTTATCACGTGTCTTTCCCATATTGTACATCCTATTTTGATTAAGTCATATTTTGTTAATTTCCATCACCAGATGGCGACAGTGTATTCGTGACTCCAGGAGTTATGATCACGGTAGCTGATCATCGTAAATCAGTGAGTAACACATATACCCATAGCCAGCTCTCTGAAAGTACTGGGTGATTTGGCATTTTGGCTTTGGGTATCCAAATGTTGTTGCTGTCTCCCTTTAGATAACACTAACTTGGCCCAGAATGTGGAATTGCAGGACATTTGTGCTCAGAAATAGTACATGTTGCAATTAACTATTTGTTCATCCTTCCTGTTGTATAATGCGGCTGTATTAGTTAATCTCTTTTCAGTCTGCTAGCAAGTATAATTGCAAAATTGGCCTTTCACTGGCATCTGCTATGGTAATGATAGAAAATAGCAGACAGTGGGCTCAAATTCAATGAAATTCTTCAGACTGTTAAGAGTTGTATCTTCAGTTGCATTGTATAATTTTGAGACTGCTCTGAATGCATTAAGGGAATAACTCTAAAACAGAAAAGCTCCAATTGTTAAAACATTTCCTGAGAAATGACCTAACATTAGCATGTCATCTGAAATTCACCATCAGTGTTTTCTTTTCTCCTTCCCAGCATGTATGCTTGATACCAAATATTGCATGAAAACAATTTGTTATTCTCCAAACAGTTGATAGATCTAGTCAAATATTCCATGAGGTTATAGTAGTTGTGATATTTCTAGTTAAATAATTTAGGAAGTAATTTCCCAATCAGTTCATATTTCTAGTCAAATATTCCAGGAGGTAATTCACCAAAACAATTAATGTTTAAGTGACATATTCTAGGGGGTAATTCACCAAACAATTAATGTTTAAGTGACATATTCCAGGGAGTAATTTACCCGACAACTAATGTTTCAGTTGAATACTTCACGATGTGATTCACAACAAAATTTATGTATTAGTCAAATATTCATTCACCATACAATTGATATTTCCAGTCAAGTATTTCAGGATGTAATTCCCCACATAGTTGATGTCTTTAGTCAAATACTCCAGGGAGTAATTTAAGAAGCCAATCTATGGAAAACAACATCTTAAATGAACTAGTCATTTATTCTCTTTTAATGTTACTGAATAAAGATGGGGAACTTTAAAAACAATTCTAGTTATAATACTTTCAAAACATTATTTTTAAATGAAATTTCTTTGTTTCAGACTGTAGGAGGAACAAGTGGTGGATTTAACTTGGACCCAATTACAGGAAATATAGACAGTGACGCCATGGCAACAGATCGTCAAGGACAATGGCTACGTAGACGACGTCTTGATGGTGCGCTAAATAGAGTCCCAGTGGGTTTTTATCCACGTGTCTGGAAAGTCCTATCAAGGGTAAGTGAAAGCTTTTACGCTTTGGTAATTGTTATTCATTCTGTTATTCATTGGTATTTTAATAGTGGAGTTTTATGACTGTTTTATGTTTATTAAAGTTACTAAATGAGCACATTTTGGTTTCAGAGTGAAGGTTTGACAATAGATGGCCACACTCTACAACCAACTCTCACAAATGAGGTAGGAGTCTTTATCTTAATATAGACAGATAAGAGCAGTTATATAGTTTGACATGGAAAGAAAAGATTCAACCAAATCTAATATAATAATAATTTTCTATAGATTCAATCTATAGAGTAAAAATTTACACGGATCTATGATACACATACATACTGTTCCCCTGGTTATTTTGGTAATTTGCTACTATATTTCGCTCTTTTGCGAGTTTTGGGAAATTCGCGAAATATAATAGCCATAAAATTTCAAAAGTTCTCTTTCATGAAATATAATAGTGTCAAATATTAGTTAAAGAACAGTATATTTGCAGTTGTAAAAATGGCATTTTCAGATAATTCAAGCTGCTCCCATTCACCAATCTTATTCTAGGTGCACTTTGATGTAAAAAATGATATTTACTTGATACTATGTTATGTGATTCAATTCCCAGATGACTCCTGGGGAGTTGAAGTTTGCTCTACAAGTGGAGATGGTGTTGAACAAGATTCCTCAGCCTGAATATCGTCAACTGATGGTAGAAGCTTTGATGGTGCTCACCCTTTTAGTGGACAATGATGGTGGTCTTGTACAAATGACAGATGCAATACATATAGACAGAGTTGTCTCCAAAGCCAATACCATATTTTTAGAAGACCAGGTAATCTACAATATTTGCATTTAAGAAATATAGACCTCAGAGCAGGTGTTATATTCGTTGATATAACACCTGCTCTGAGGTCTATATTTTATGATTCAAACATGACAACTCACCAACATTTTTTGAATATTCATTATGGCCTACCATTACTGCGGCCTGTCATTATGACATCACACATTACTCATATTACCAGGTGTAGTGTATCCGAATACATACTGGGTGAAATATTGACTTTGTTCACAGTTTATGGAAGGTGTAACCAGTGTGTTCCAATTGTATTTAAGTATCCGATAAAATATATTTTTATCATTTTACTTCAACTCTTCTAGATTAAGTATTCTCTATACAACTACCAGATTTTCTAGTAGTGAAGCCCATTCATCGCATTTAAAATAACCCATGGGTATTTATTGCACAATATTATGTTACATATGATCAAATGGAAAATTATGAAACTTTTTATGAATATCTAGAATAGAATTAGGAATAAATCATCATATGATTATAAATAATTATTTTAGTAATAAGTGTCATTACTATCATTCAAGAAGTATTCATTTGACATGCTCGTTTGTTACAGAAGCAAGCGCAGGCAGATGCCACATTATGCTGTGTTGTTCCTGCAGGTCATGGCAGACCAGTCCCTCTTGCATGTGGAGGCACAGCAGGAATATGTCAGCATTTTTATGACAGTGCCCCAAGTGGCCGTTATGGGACAATGGTCTATTTATGTCGGGCTGTGGCAGACATTTTACATTTTCCAATTCGGGACAATGGAGAACTGGACTGTGTTATAAGCTGAGTGAACATAGAACAATGTATTTTCCATCTTTCTGATTTTGTTGCACAATTGAAATGTGTTAACCGTTGTAGGAATGATATTTTTTGTATTATTTCTTTGAATATATATTATTATTCATTTGTATACATATGCTTAACATGTTCAAATGAAAGGGCTTTGTCAAATTGTTGAAAATGTTTTGGTGATGTTATAAGAAACTAGTAGACATTTTGTGCAGTTTGCATAGAAACAAATACATTGCTCTGGCCAGAGGCTAGAAGTTATTACTGTAATAATGACCTGCTGTAAAGTGGATAGCAATTTTTTCATGTGTGAAATTAATACAAGGTACAGAAAATGCAGTGACTTTAATTTAGGTAGCTGTATTATGTGGAACTTAATTTGATTGAGTAAGAAGACCAAAGGATTCCACTTATTGAAATGTGTAAAAAATGAAGCGAGTCTTAGGATACAGTGTTTATCCTGCAGGAAATATGTGCATATACACATATTTCCCTTGGGATAAACCCTGTATCCAAAACCTCCCAGTACATAACCCTTATGTATCTAAAAGTTCTGTGATATTGAACACTTTTGAATATACATGTTTTTAATGGGAGGAATGACTGCTATGCAATCTACATTTTGTAAAACTCGCAGTTTGTTGAACCATTGTCCCTCCCACCCTTGTTTTAAGTTATTAATATTGTATTATATGTAATTTATAGTACAGAGTATGTAAAGACCTAAAATATAAATGCTACTCATGTTTAAGCCCAACCAATAGAGTTTGTTCATTTATATCGAGTGAGTTGTATTATGTTGAGCAGTGCACATGAATATAACATATTGAAAACAATTTTTTATTTCTCTATTCAAACATGACACATAAGTATTGGCATGATCAAAATCTATTTAAAACAGCATTCTTCATATTCAAAACCTTGGTCAGTGGTCAGTGGCATAGCCAGGATTTGACAGGAGGGGGTTCGAATATTTTCGGCGAAGATTTTTCTTGGAGCCACCTAACAGTGAATTTGGTGAAAACCCTTTCAAACTTTGCCAAAGGATTGGTATCGATATGGTGAACTGTTTGAACACACATTTCTCTAAAACCAGTCATCAAAAAATCCTGAAAATTTTACACATCGTCAATTTAATGGTCATTTTTTGAATGGTATCAATATAATTTGAATTATATATATTATATACTTTTCTCTGTATTGTTTTAGAAAACACATCAGACACTTATGTTCTTGGTATCGTATGTTTCATATCATATGTGCTCATTTAGTGCTTATATTTACTGAAATGAGTACTCAATTGGCGCTAAAATGCCATGAGTTCTATTTTAGTACTCGGCATATCTCCCTGTGTACAAGGCATACATATATATCTCTCATTCAGCCAAATTTTGAATATGCCATGTGCATGGGATCCTTACTGCCAGAAAGATATAAACATGCATCGTGTTGAATTTTATACAGTATGATTATTCAACACATAATTCCGAGGAAACATTTGTTATTTATTTAAACAGTCACAATCCATTTTAATGTTTTCAACGTTAAAAAGAAATGACAGTTTTTTATTTCCCTGAATCTTCCTGATCCAGCAAGAGGACTATGTGAGAACAATGATGCCATCCTAACGAAACCATAAAATAGGCATAGGCTGCATGAAAAGTGGAAGTCCAACTTGATGAAAAGTTAGTGCAGGGTGACACTTGTAAAAAATATCCATGAGTCTATATCTAGTATATAAATAAGTCCTTCCCAGTTAAGACATTTCTGACAGTACAAGTGTATATGGTAGTGCAGGCCAATGTGACCCTGGAATATACAAATAACATGTATCTATTTATTTATATATTTTTAAATATTGGTCCACATAATATTATTGGTGTCATATTGAAATAAGCGTGTTCATGAAAAGTGAATTTAATATGACAAAAAATCATAATAGTTTTAAGAATTATTCAGTAAATGGTCATTTAGTAAGTTTTTTTTGTAAAATATAACAAGTAGTGTGAATAAGATCACAATGAAACAATATTCACAACGTTTTAGGATTGATGTATCATAGTGCAAGAAAGAATTCTTCAATTCAACACATCGACACATCAATATCATTGTTAATATTTTTCGAGTTTACCCTTAAATTTTGCAAAACTCTTTTTTCCAAAAATGACATACTAGTAGTAAAATTAAAGTGAAAACATGGGACCAATTGTTTCTCAAGTTGTTAATGAAATTATTTTTATAACTTGATACCTTTTAATCCCAGATGCATCAATAGTTATTCTATGCAAAAAGAATACTAATCTGTATCATCTCCATATTCATTCTTTCTACCTGAAATAATAAAAAGCATGTTTAATAGGTGTGTTCAATTTTAAAAGGGTCTTAGAACATCCATTGTTTTGATAAAAACATATATCAATATTATCAAGTCAAATATTGTGACATTAAAAAGTTCAATTTCAGAGGATATCTCAGGCTATTACAATTTTCAATGATTTTTATTCGAAGCATTATGTTGGACTTCAAATAGAAGTGAAGTTTACACACAAATAATATGGCCTGATTGCATAGAGTTATAACCCTACTATCACACCGAACTAGTTCTCACTATGTTCTCGAAAACGGGCTTCAACTGTGTACGAACGGACTGGACGTACTTAGAATCGGTTGGGGTCTATTTACAAACTTCATAGAACGTACTCCAACGGGTAGGTCTTCTAGATTGACACCAAGCAAGTTGCCACTACGTTCTTCAAAACTGGTTTTAAACTGTGTGCGAACGGAATGAACGTAGCTACAATGTTCTACGGTCTGTTTACGAACTTCATGGACTTTCCTAGACGGGGAATGATGACCGTCTAGACTAATGGACGCATTATACGACGTTGCACACCGACGTGGTGCGACCTGAACAAACTGCGAATGAGATGGACGTATTGAAGACTGTTTATGACTGAAGTAGCTAATTATTTTAGACATATTTCCCGACCACAGCCAGATTGAGGCCGTTTTACGACGTTTTCAGGTTAGAACTAGTTTGGTGTGATAGGGGGGTTAGTGACAGAATTGGCTCGAATCCAATATTAATTTTACATTAGATTTATCACAAAGGAAGGGTTGTGGATTCTACAATATTCTATAAAAAATATAAATTCAGCTGATTTTTCAAAATGAATACACTGCTTTAATTATTACATTTGTGTTTATGCTGGTATCTTGTTGACCTATATTCAGCACTGTCTTGATGAAAAATTTATAAAAAATTGCATGATCCTCAATAGCAGATTTTGTGTCCCACACAGTGTTGACATACTTAATATATTACCTGAACTAAATGATGTTGCTTTGCCCTGTCTACCTTCTCTATCCTCTCTCCCAAATGATCCAGATTGAGAAGCATACCCAGGTTGGGAACCATATGACCCGGGTTGGGAACCATATGAACCGGGTTGGGAACCATATGACCCAGGTTGGGAACCATATGACCCAGGTTGGGAACCATATGACCCAGGTTGGGAACCATATGACCCAGGTTGGGAAACAAATGGTTGTTGACTAAAAGATTCAGAAGGTTTGGATTGTGAAGGTAAATGCTTTGTATTGTATTCATCCCGATTTCTTTGCCGCAGCATGTCATAAGTTTGGTATGGTTGAGCAGGCGCCACTGACTGTCTTTCACGATCCACAAAAGAAACATCTGTAAATGTAATGATTAAAGAATGATCAGATCTGTAAATGTAATGATTCAAGAATGATCAGATCTGTAAATGTAATGATTAAAGAATGATCAGATCTGTAAATGTGATGATTCAAGAATGATCAGATCTGTAAATGTAATGATTAAAGAATGATCAGATCTGTAAATGTGATGATTCAAGAATGATCAGATCTGTAAATGTAATGATTTAAGAATGATCAGATCTGTAAATGTGATGATTCAGGAATGATCAGATCTGTAAATGTAATGATTAAAGAATGATCAGATCTGTAAATGTAATGATTAAAGAATGATCAGATCTGTAAATGTAATGATTAAAGAATGATCAGATCTGTAAATGTGATGATTTAAGAATGATCAGATCTGTAAATGTAATGATTAAAGAATGATCAGATCTGTAAATGTAATGATTAAAGAATGATCAAAGAGCAAAAAGGTCAAGAAATAAAGTGACTTGTCAGTTGTATCCGTACTACTACTATGTACTGTCCGTAATGGTTCTCTGGCCAGCCCAAAATACTATTGCAATATATTTATCAATCTACATAAAGAGTGATCTAATACTCATTCATTCAAAAAGACCTTTCATATATAAATCGTATTTCCTTTTCTAATTTATAATCCGACTTGGTTTAAGAAAATGACAATAAACGATGACTTATTTATAACACATAAATGACCTGTATCTAGACTGGGTCTCTTGGATTCATCTAATTCTTGTGTACGTTGTGTCATCTCAAGACCCAGTCTCATGCTCTCTGCTTCTGAGGCACCTTGGTCTACACTCCCCCCTCCAAATGATGGAATTGAACCTGTAGCGATCTGACTGAAATAAAAGAAAACAGGAGTCCCAAATTACTATAAAATCAAGAGATATAGACCTCAGAGCAGGTGTAATATTGTCGAATACACCTCGCAGGACTAAACACGTTTTCTGGCAACGTTTTCTGTACCCCAAATGACCAAAAGGAGAGAGGGGTTCAACAAACCCTCAGTTGGTATTCTTACATGTATTTTTCATGAAATTTTGAATCCAGCAGTCATTTTGTAAATTCCATGTCCATAAGAACATAAAGTTATGAGACCAAATGGTGATCCAATATCACAAAAATGTCTGAAGCTTCCAATTAGGTCAAAGTGGGGTACTATAGCCCACATTTTACAGTACATTACAATTTCCTAATGAACTGAGGAGTGCCATGTTTGGTAAAAGAGTAACGTTGTCACAGTGCATTGTTGTTTCATAAAGAACTGGACAATTTTTATGAAGGAGTGAAAGCATATTTGAATTGCAATCAAGAACTTGTATCATTCTTTATTGGATTTAAAAGAGTCTATGCATGTACTAACCCATCCTGATAATGTACTCGGGATCAACCCTTGTGCATTAGGTGTAGGAGTTAGTGCATGCACTCATGATTTTAAATTCAAACTAAAAAACAGCAACTCCCTGGAGTAGCAAATCCCATCGAAAAAAACATATTTTATCAAATCACTCATCATTTTCAACATAACATGATCAACATCCATCATGTGACGTGACCCATGATGTGACATGACTCATGATGTGACATGACCTTAGGTATCAGCATATAAAATTTGAACCAAATCCATCCACTGGTAATTGAGTTATCAAAGATCACATTTTTTACGATAAAAGGCGGCCATTTTAAAATTCAGCTGCCATCTTAAAAATCTCTTCTTGAGCAGATTTCCTTTATCCTAAATCCGTCAACTGGTATTTGAGTTATTGTCCAGACACAAGAATGAACAGACAGATGGCTTCTCCATATCTCTATGAAGTTCGTTCGGTGGAATAATAAATTCCAACTTGAGAAGAGATCGTAAGTGACATTACCTTAAAAACAGTATTTGCGTTATCATAAAAAAATATTTCTCCTGTTTTCTACATTCCTTGAACTTTGTTTGATTGGATAATAAAATCAGCAGAATTCTTACCTCTCAGCACCACGTTGCCTTCGTCTTATAGATTCAGCTAGGGGGCTATTCTCTAATCGCAGAATCTTCTTTTTGCATTCATCTTGGTATGATATTTTACCTGCTATGAACCCTAGCAATGCTGCACCTAAAATATATACAAATAAATATCAAATATTTATGATGATGTCATAAAAAAAATTGTGATCCAGCACTCTTGTTAAATAAGCCTTCGGTTTGAGAAATGAATTTCAAGTAGACTTCAGATACAAATGTTTTCTATTCCATTTGATGCCTCTATTAACTCATTCAATACTGAGCCAAAAAGCACTAAATACTGACGAATTTCTATATTTCTCTAAACATTTGACATGAATGATCAAATTGTGCACAATTGCAATTTACAGAACCTTAGGCACTGTACATATTGAATTAAATATAAATAATACTTACCCAAACCTTTACCCAAGGCACCAAATTTAGGATGTCCTTTAAGATGGCCTGAAAGTGACAGAAATCACTTTTTATTCCATAATCCATAGCCCACAATAAAATTTTAAATGTTTGGAACTACTTTGAATTAAAAAAATAAGCAATCAAATGACTATATTGCAAACAGTATATGACAAAATAGAAACATATTTACAAGGCTCAGTTTTGTATATTTCAGTTTTCAGACATGTATGTAATGTGCAGCAAAGCTGCGGCCTTTTGTGTTTAGGGAGTTTCAGCCATGTTAATTTTTCCGAAAATAACATGGCAGAGAAGCATCAAAATATAAGAGGCCACACATATGATAGCAAAACTACAAAACAAAAATATACGAAACTTAGGCAATGAATAAATGTTTCTATTTTTACATATACTGTTACAAAATGGTCCTTTGATTGCTTATTTTTTAGATTCAAAGTAGTTCCAAACATTTAAAATTTTACTGTAGATGTTCATTCAATTGAAAAAGGCTTGTACGGCCATTTTGAAAATCATCTTTCAAACTTGTTCTCAAATGGTGCATAAAATATAAACAACATTGGGCAAATAGTATTCGAGTAACTGCCCGGAGAGACGGATAGACAGATGGATGGAATCATTCTCTATATCCCCCAAATCTTTGTTTGAAAGGATATTTACATTTTTACAAACAGATGGATGGACAGCTTCTCTTCATCCCTATGACCTTCATCTGGTGGGATACTAAGAGTCTATTACTTGTCTAAACAGGAGCCCATTACAGATCTCGTTACAGATTCAAATGGACAATGTGAAACTGTCTAATTCAAGGCCACTGGAGTTGTTCAGATTAGCAAGTATTTTTGAAAAGTAAGGTGAGAAGAAGACTATCAAGACCTATCCACAAGTTAATAGTATTAATAGTATTAGAGTAACGTAAGTCCTACCTCTGTTTACTGCATAATGGGTCATGAAAACCATGGTTGCACTAAAAGGCACACCTGAAAAGTGATATCCAAGGGGTGATTTAGATATTCTGGTAAAGATATGCTCTCATTTCTACATGTTGTAATTCTAAAATCTCATTTCAGTCTCATTTTTGATTCATATTTACTTACTAGTATACTGGTGTATATGAACTTATTTGACTTGTGCCTAAATATAATTTACTTATTATATAACAATATCAGTATGATACTTCCAAAAATAACGCAGATGCGAGTATGTAGTATGTAGTTTCACCATCAGATAGATAGATCAGGTCAGATAGGCGGGTATAGTAGAAAGTTCCCTTTAACTTAAATTACATCTGTTTTAGTGGTTCAATTTTCATATAACCCCTATGTATCTAATAGTTATGCAAATTAAAATATACCAGTAAAAGAAAATGTTATCTGTCCAATTCAAGAAAAGATATTTCACTTTTTGTGATTTTGTAACATGGGGTCTATGGGGAATTAACCGGAACGGGAAGTCATATTTTCAGAACAAATTAAATTTTCAAAATTCAATAAACAATTTTCAAAACCATAATTCTAGATGTTCTTTTACATGTATATTTCAAATATGACATCATTTTGACTGAATTTTGAATATTTAATGACGTAAATCAAGATTATTTCTACTCGCATCTAGGTTATTGCAATCGGTAAATGGAGTTCAAAATGATAATTATTAAATACACCTTAATAGGTATAGCTGTATACTCACATCTGTACCAGAAGGCCTCTCTATTGCACTCTTTCAGGACATTTATCTCTTCAGCAGTCAATGGCATTCTGGGAGCAGGTTGGCCTTGACCATCCTTGAACAGTTAAAAACAAGATGACAGCAACAGAGCCTAGCAAATCTTATACAAATCTTATAGAACATCCAAATGAGTGTTAGACAACACTGCAAGAGATCATGTCTCAAAAATGGACGCCATAGATTGATTGCCAAAGAATTGATGCATCAAAATACAGACTCCAACTTAAATGATGCAATGTTGTTAGGCACGCAGTTTGTGATCGAAACAAACTGCGCGCCTAAGTAGGCGCGCAGCTTGACATGGGCACCGTGAACATATATTAAAAATAAATCAATGATTTTTTTACGAAATAAGGTGGCCATTTTTAATTCATCAGCCATCTTAAAATGTCCAGAAGACAGCGATAAAAGAGCTTAATCAGGCAACATAATATGTTTTCATGAAAAATGGTAGCCATTTTGAATTGGGTGGCCATATTAAATATTACTTCTTGAAATGAGTTCTATGGCTCTAAGGCACCAGGATGTCAAGTTTGAACCAAACCCATCATTAGAGTATTTCAATTATCCAAAATTTCATTTCTGCCACGGACTTGTGTGCTTGTGATGGATCACGTGATCATATCATGCTATTTGATTGGTCATCGTATAGACTGATGTACATAATTCTGAAAACGTCATCCATTGCCAAAACTCTGACTGGGTCTTACCAGTCAACAAGAGTCAAATGAGGCTAATAGATACAATTACAGTTATAATTTTGAGTGATAGGATACTATAAGACTCTTGTTAATATAGCTGTGCAGGTTCAAGTCACCAAGATGAGCTAATTAATGAGCTTTGTGTGAACATTTCTTATTTCATAATATTATTTTAACGACAAAATAGGCTCACCTGACTATATACAGGATTGTATCTTGATTTGTCCATGTATTCTCCAAGACTCTCAGTTGGCATTTTGAGTTCTGAAATATATCACAAAATCTTACATGAAAACAATGAAAGCTAAATGAACTTAATGACAACCATATTTACTGACTTACCATTTAGTCACCGATTGCCACTAGCATCTTCAAATATATGGTCTCAAAGTGAAGGCAAGATCTGTATCTCAATGAATTACAAAAGTTGACTAAAGCTTACCTTGACCTCATAGCCACGTATATAGAGATCATTTACTTGGAGGGATTCAATAATATGGGTTTTATTCTGAGGGAAAATATGATAATTCTATTTCTGATTTTTATATGAAACAAAACCAGACTATTATTTAGTCACCATCATAGGAACTTGAGCATTGTGTGAATGCCCTGTGATGGACATATACAGTGTATGTATTGTTAAATTTTTAGATGTTGGTGGGTTTATGTTATATAATAAGTTTTTATGACATTTTGAAATATAACATAGTAAAAATGTTATATTTCAAAATGTCAATTTTATCTTTAAATCTTTTAATTTTATCTTTAACAAGCTATTACAGGCCTCGTTACAGGCACCATACAAGCAAATACTATAAAATCAAAAATTACGATTTATTACAGGGCTCGTTACGAGCACCATACAGGGGATATAAAATTACAAGCTATTAAGGGCCTTTTAATTACAAGCTATTACGAGGCTCAGAAATTACAAGCAATTACGGGACTCGTAATGAGGCCCGTACGAGATTATGTATGTCATGATTTAGGGAGAGAAAAAGTAACACTTTTTTCATCCCTTTTACAAGTAACAATTCTAAGACAATCTATGGGAGAAAGACTTGTTGAAAAATGGTCCGATAATCCGTTCGAAAAAGCTCTACTTTGGATCTAGTCATATTTCATGAAGAGTAATCTACTTTCATACGTTTGCATTTTTTTAAATACATTACTTTGCCTTTATAACGTGACTTTATTGGACTAACTATTCTCCACGAAAACTTCTGTACTGCAATGGATTTATGTAGACATTTTCAAAACTATTACTTGATATAATCATGACTGCTCTTTCAGTTGAGTATAAATGTTGATAAACATACACGGAAGCCAACACATACACGTGCAAACGATTACGTTCAGTGTGAAAGTAAGTGCCCCGATATCGAAGCTCTAACAGGTAAAATTTTAATCACGCATCTAGAATCTGGTTTTATAACATGTAGAATTTATCAATATCAGGATCGCTACATGCCAGTGATACCTGCAAATGATGGATACATTCCTATCAAATCGAATGAATGTTTTCATGGATCGCCATAGTTGTGATTGGTTCCCAGAATGCAACATCAGTTAAACTTATTTTCCCGTGACAGATTCAAAATGTCACGTTGCATTCTGGGAGCCAATCCTCCTTACAAGGCTACAGTAGATATACATTAGACAACAGTCTAAATTCTCCGACCGATCGGGAAAATAAAATTACATTGATTGTACAATATCATTTGAATGTGACATTGCTGAGCTTTAAATCTTATACCGATAGGTAGATAATCAATACAAAAAATAATAGACGATGTTATATTTTAATATGAATGATATAAACACCAGTAAATACCTCAAATATACGCTGCCTGGAGTTATCTAAAATAAAAATTTCTTCCTCCTATTTAGAGAGTTCCAAGGCGCAGTTCATACAATCACGAATTAGCAATCTCCGAGCCTTGTTCAGTGCAATCCCTGACTCCTTTACCCAGGGGCGGATCTGGGAACCAACAAGGGGGGGGGCCCAAATTTCAGGTCCGAGAAAAAAACTTTGGGCCCCTAAAACCCAAAAGTGGACCCAAATTTTGAAATTTTGAGCCCCATTTTCTTCAAAGGCCCAATGATTACCAAAAGGCCCACTTTTTGGGGCCTTTAGGCCTTTTATGGCCCAAAAGTTTCTATGGGTCCAATTTTTTTCTCGGCGTTTTTCCATGCGTTATACAAAAAATAATCGAAATAAATTAAATTTGGATGGAGGGGGATCGGATGGAGGGGGGATCACGTGTATATAAGACATGATAAGACATGCTACTTGAATTTATTGTTATGCCTCCAAATTTTCCCATTTTTCATTCTCCAGAGATATAATCACGGACGTCAAGTAAGTTTCTGGCGAAAGCCGGAGCATAGATTATTTAGAGGACTGGAAACCAGAATGACCTACCTTTTTATTTCCCGAATCTCGCCTGAAATTAGCTCATCTTGGTGACTGTAACCTGTATATCTGTATTAATAGCTTAGAGTCGTTTTGTATCGCATCTGCCTCAATTTTAAACTTTAATTGGTATCTTTAATATGATTTCACTGTTTTTGTGGACTGGTACGATTAAGCCAAGCAAATGGCAGCTGATCTGTTCAAAGTACTTTTAGTACTAATTATCGCAAATGACAATAATTTTGGAAACAAAATTATACTAAATAGATTACTAAGCATCTAAGGTAAGTAAAACTAGATGAACAACTGAGTCAATAGTGAGAAATAGGCCAAAATGAACTGCCAGAATTGAAATAGACTGCCATCTTGTTTCCAGTCCTCTAAATAATCTATGCTCCAGCTTTCGCCAGAAACGTACTTGACGTCCGTGGATATAATATCCAGTTTCTTACTGGGGTACTGAGTTTAGTTTTTTCAAATACACGAGTTCTTGTGAATTTGCTCCATCGTAAAGATATATAAATCGCTCCCCCCCCCCTCCATCCGATCCCCAGAATTATATCTGATTATTTGGAATCAACTAAGTTCAAAGTATAGCAGACTAGAGACGGTATTAATGTCCTGAATTAACTGAGAATTCAAAGGATGAGTCTAGGAATGAGTCCCGGATATCAACTTAGGCCTATAAAATATTGAAAATTGTTATGTCTAAACCAACTTAACCACATTTATTATTGAACCTCAATATCTTATCCTTCTTCTGAATCTGAGAATACAAAAATATCAATTTGTATCACAATTAATGAAGAATATTGGCATCAAAGAGAATTGAAAAAAATTCAAGTGCAAATACTAAATGAATAATTTATACAAAAAGTTTGAAACATATCCTTAAAAACATTGCTTACTTTCTTTGTATAGATATTGAATGGTACATTTTTGTATTTAAGTCAAGTGAAGTGACCTTTCCTACCTCCTAAAATTTCAAGGAGTAGGATTGCAACAGAGACAATATTTGTAAGACTCCAAAATTTCCACAAATCATCTAAAACCATATAGCTTAATTGAAACTCAAAGTAGGTATGAGTTGTTAGAATGTTTTGATAATAGAATGTGTTTATGAGGAGAATATCAGATATAAACTGCACATCCACACTCACAGTGGACGCAACCCAGTTAAAAAGGCTATTTTAACAATGCAACTATTTTTAATTTATTTCAAGGCATAAAAATATATGTACTACTGTATAAAGTAGAGATTTGTTATAAGTAGAAAAGACAGCCTTAATGACATCCTCGGCCAATGCAAGGTCAACTTGAATCTATATTTTCCTCGGAATAAGTGTTCATGGGGGTATTTTGAAATGCAATGAGGAATTACATTGCCCCTCCCCCCAATCGAACGCACATCGATATTTGTTAATGGGGGTTTCTATGGCACTGAAATAATTATAACATATAATGTATACGTTGGAATATTGGAATTTTACTGGAAAGGTGCAAACGTCCTTTACCCCCACGATACTTATTTAGAAGTAGATAAGAAATGACAGTGGACTACGTCTAGGAGCGGATATCAGAAGCAAACTGTCTCATTTAATAGAGAGGTTAAAATCAAAGTCTAGGTAGGTCGTTCCGTAAAGGATTTTTAGTACTTTATCAAGTTCAATCGAGATAAATATGATAGGTCCAATGCATGAATATGTTTGACACAAATCTGTGTAGTCTGATGGGATTACAGATATGGCGATTGCCCACATGTCAGCTCATCTTAATTCTACTATACAAATAGTCGTATTTGTCGTATGGCGGCCGTTGACTTGCTTCTGCTGTAGGGTGTGATGGGTAATACACCTTTGGAAACAGTTTTTATGTCAGTTTTCGGTCATATTCTTGCTGTTTATACAACACAATACGTATACTGTTTGATGTAAGGTCAATGATACCACAGCAACTAATATTTTACTTGCACTTTTTATTTGATACTGTATCCCATTACAAACAACATTTATAAATTGTACTGATGTAGATAAGAAAATAACGTTAATCAACATAAATTCAAAACTCGCCGTGCGGCGAGCGTAGAATTTACCGCAGAAATGATAGACCGCATGGTCGCCGTAGGAAATGTGACTGGGGTTTTGAAGACATTAAAGACACGTCCTGTCTGAGGCCCAGAAATACGTTAAAAATGTTTAAAAAGTCCGCTAGTGTACTGAGTTGAGATAGTCTTTTACTAAGATTACTTACATGTATAAGAATAAGACTGATTTTTATAAGCTTAATGGATAAGAATAAGACTGATTTTTTTTTATAAATGACAGTATACCCGGGCCTCAGCGTCCTGTTGTATTTTGTGAGATTCAAGATGCCATAAAACACTGCCAGGCTGTGAAACATTTCCTTTGTTAAACACTTTCATCAATATTTTTTATCCTTTTAAAGTAGAAAACAAAACGAAAGGTCGCTAAGAAAAAGAAAAAATCATTTTGAGGTTTGTGTTTACGTTACGTCTAAAGTGCTCAGCTTAAATTACTTTTGTTCATAGTACGTAAACGGAAAGTAAATGTTTACGTTTGCGGTTCAAGTCATAAAAATCGTCTTGCATAGCCTAATGATTTTGAATCCTAAACGCCATCTGCTCCAAGAAGAAGGCGAACTTATTTGAAGTTTGAAACTGTATAGTCACACATCATTAATATAAACACACCGGAATAGCCTGACACCCGTGTAAAGTCAGATACGGAATCTGAATTTGAGTAATTTAGAAAGACAACGGCATGTTGTAATTACAGTGTCCGTTGTCCCGTATCTCATTTTGATCAGTTAAATCAGAAGACTATTTCGATGGTAGAACATTATTAACTGTACAACGAGTATTAAGACACTTTGATTGAGTGTTGTTCGAAAGGAATCTAGTTTAGGTGCTCTTTAGACATACAATTCATGAAAATCTAATTGAAGTGACGGTTATGTCCGCCAATAGTGACAACGGTATCTGACTTTACCGGTGTCAGGCTATTCCGATGTGAATAATAGCAAAACTAAGTAGAACGGTATAAAGAGGACAGCATCATATATTCGTGAAAAACATAAGCCTACCTTTCTTCTCCATGGTGTATTTTAAAAATGCCATCTCATCGTTAACAAAAAAACACACTTCCGTACCCATATACGCGTACCTATACCTCACCGTGAATACACCCTCTTACCCGAGTGCACACTCGTCAGTCAGTACACGCTCTCATCTGAGTGCGCCTTCGTCACTTATGTCATAAATTAAGTTTATGGTAAGTTATACATATCATACCGCCTAAGTTTGAACATAAACATTGTTGGCAATAGGTAAAAAGTATGTACATAGTATCATATAAGATATGAAAAATGACGTTACACCAAATCTAAAGTATCACGAATATATGAGTGGTGATAAGTACATACATGGATACAAGTCTAGGCAATCAAGGCCTATCATTTCCATACTTTTGGTGACGAACTTTGCAGTTAGGTGAACAATTTTCTTATTAGAGTTCGAGTCATAGTTTTTATGACCGTAAATGATGATGTTTGATATTGTTACACGTTGATAGTTTTAACTGAAATAATCACTTTCTATAATAAAAGTAAAACTCATTTCGAGATAAGTATTTATAAGGCCCGGTAAGTCCATGGGCATCAAATAAGTTCTGTGACAAGGACATCATATTTTATAACATGATTTCCCCGCCAATTTATATTTAATTGGAAGTCTACATTTTTGCGATCGCATGACAGCAATTACGTTGCGATCTACGTTGCGACAACCCCGTGATAAGACGCAACTCAGGAGTTGCGCTCCCGGGGGTTGCGCTAGCGCAAATTGCCGATTCGCAAACGCAATGCAAATCTAGCGACGAGCGCGTGATAAGGCCTCTGATACATATTTCAACATACATATTTCGAGTACTTGTCGAATCACTACTCAACCCAGCATTTCCGAAAAAAGGATATTCAAAAATTTAAGTGGGAGATGATTGAAGTACGTAGCAATATTGGTGCCTAGCTATCAAGACCTATTTAATCCCAACGCCACAAAGACAGCGAAAAGCGTTTGGATTGGCAGGTGTTCATACTTCAAGGAGTTTTGGACAAATTAATAAAGTCAGACCGATAAAACGTACGTATACAGTATACACATTAATGGGTGCCCAAAATATTTTTGACATATAGGTTTTAATGTATACGCTTTTAAAAGCGACGGTAAAAGGAATTGTTTGTCGATTTGTGCCGATATTTCAGTTTTTGGTGTTTTTTTTCATTGAGATATTATTGCCGATTTGAAGTTGAATATGTTTTCAACGTACATCGTGACACCAGCGCGTGCATTTAATTTGAAAAGTATCGCAGTAGTGGGAGTGATCCCTTCTGAGGATCATATTCTCCACTCATGTTTTCTACACTCCCCTCCATAAATTTTACAACCTTTGCTCCCCCATTGAACTAGTGTTAAAGCCTCTTT